TCTACTCCGAGACTTAGGATAGATTCCTATAGTCTACATATCCGCCTCTGTCTTCGGACAGTCCTCACCCGTTAGTTGCTAGTCCGGATCCGATCCGGATTGGCCATTACTCTATATGTTCGATATCCGGAAGTCCTTAACGGATCCATTGCAATACTTATCCGTTTCACTAGACGCGATACTTTAGCTCTCTGAAATAAGGGGCAAGACTCGGGAAAGGGGCACAGCGTACGAGCTGAGGCCGAAGCCCTTCGGATCCGATACTACTTGAGTACGGTCTTAACAGCCACTGTAAACGAACACTGAGAGATGAAAGATTGACCGAACATGATAGCCTCACATATATAGACGAGAGTTGATGTGCGTGCCCAACGTATCCTAAAATAAGAATCGGCCAGACTGTTAAGACCGTACTCAAGTAGTATCGGATCCGAAGGGGCTTCGGCCTCAGCTCGTACGCTGTGCCCCTTTCCCGAGTCTTGCCCCTTATTTCAGAGAGCTAAAGTATCGCGTCTAGTGAAACGGATAAGTATTGCAATGGATCCGTTAAGACTTCCGGATATCGAACGTATAGAGTAATGGCCAATCCGGATCGGATCCGGACTAGAAACTAACGGGTGAGGACTGTCCGAAGACAGAGGCGGATATGTAGACTATAGGAATCTATCCTAAGTCTCGGAGTAGACAAGAGTAGCGTACTCAAGTCCGGATGGATAACGGAGGGACTCAGAGTCCAGACGGAATGAGTGCAATCTAAGATGATATTCGAACTGATCTACTACAGCGCATATACAAAGGTTTATATACTACGGATAGCTAATGGAATGATCATAAGCAAAGGTGCGAGGCTATGTACGAAAGTATAAGCAAAGTCTAAGTGGAGCGTATTGGTAAGTTGGATGGATCACGAATCATGAACTGGGAATGAAGTACAAGTAAAAGCGGATTCGTAAGTGTAGCGGATCAGTAAGCATAGCGGATCTGTAAGCAAAGCGGAAGTAAAGGATAACCGGTATACCGGTGTACAGGAATACCGAAAGGAGATGAACGATAGTTAGAGTTATATGAACAGGAAATGAAATAAGAATCAAAGCGGATCTGTGGACCGGACGATGGATATGTTCATCGGATCTGGATCGGATCTGAGATCCAGATCATCGGATCTGTAACCGGATATATGGTATATGACAGTGGCCCGAAGAACATATCACTCTCGCACGGCCACCCCATGACATCCTGCGGCATGTTGGATATTTGCTTGTTACAAATGACACCACGCGGTATTCTATTTACGAGATAGAGGTAAGAGCTCTATCATGCTGTTAAGTCCTCGTTTGATAGGATGAACGTATTAGGGTCGCCGGCTCCGCTTTTCTCAAAGATTGTAAGACCAATGTTTGCGCGCCCAACTTGCACGGGGGTATCTCTCCCATCTGGTTGGTGAGTACCTCTCTAAGAAATTAGTACATCATCGGGCTCATCATGTTGCATACTGCATAGCTCGATCAGCTAGTCGATGTTCAATTCACCCCAGCAATTTACCCTCACGGATTCCCTCCTCCTTCCCTTCCTATACCCGTCGATGCTCCGGCTTGGCAGACCCTGTTGCCTCAGCCGTTGGCTTGTCAGGAAGGGTTTTTGCAGCCGCCATTCGGCCAATCCCTAGATTTCGACTACGAGCCTACACTCTTCAAATTGACCTCCGTATTCGATTTCGTACCCGCGCCCACTTTGCCGGACGACGACGATCAGGAAATGTGCTTCGTTAGTACTCAGACCTCCGGTGAAACGCAGCCTCCCCACCCAGATCTTCCCTGGAGACACACTTCCCGAGGCGATATCCTTGACAAAAGTCAAAAACTGCTGCTCAAAAGCTTGTTGGCAGCGTCACCGTGGGGTCGCTCGATCAAACTGGCCAAATACCTTTTCGTTGGCAATTTTCTGGTTGGAATGCAGGACAATCCGTTCATTGTTCCTGAGGCAATTTCCAGGCAGTTGATCACAACAAGCTTTTTGAGAGCTCTTCGCTTTAACCAACAACCTTACGAGGAGCTGAGTGAGAAGCCGCGTGAGTGTCTACATCTAATTCTAATTGTCACCAACTAATGTTATGATCAGTGACGATCGTGGATGACGATGGCCAGGAGACTGTTGTGAGATGGTCATACTTGCGCAACCGAGTAAGCTTGTCCTGATGCATTGGTGCTTTTACTCACCACCAAATGTCACCGGCAGTTCATGGACTTCTATATAGACATTACTTCCGAAATCAGGAAAATCACGCGAGGGAGTACATCCCCATTGGCCGAATTTGTGACCCATGAGGATCAGAAGTTAGAGAAGATTCTTAACTTAATTGTCGCGCTCAACTCAGGCGATCAAAAACTGGTAAGGGACATGGAAGCCGCGTAAAGTGAAGGTTAAGACTCTTCTTCCGTCAGGTACAACAAGCTATCTGCGACCTCATCAAAACACAAGCTTTCAAGGAGGTCCTCTGGGCTGCATTACTCCGACCCATCGCTGAGCTTGCTGAAGGCAATGCGAGACTAGCGGATTTATACCCTGACGCCATTCAAACTTGGATGGGCTACCTACGCAAAGGGATTGTAGGCGTATTGATCACTCTTGTAAGCTTTTTCTTTTTCTCGGGTTATCCTTCCTCATATGAATAACGAAAATTGCGCCGATCTGTACCAGATGTATCAAGCGTTTACTTTGCAGATACCATCTGATTCCATGAACCTGAAAGCGGCCGAGTTACACCCAAAAATCATGGCTGCCCTTGACGATATGTATTCGCATCCAGACCGCTTCACCCCCTTCATCCGGGTGGCACGTGAGCTTCCTTCGCTACAGTTAGTCTTTCATGTTCATTTGATCTTTCACTCAATATTTGTTTAGGGAGTCAAACGTCTTGGTAATGGATCCCAAGCATAAAGTTCCGAAGTTTATCACGGACAAGGCGGGGAGTGAGGCGCATGAAGACCATGAACGACCTCAAGCCTATAGATGTCGTTGCGACCTCTGATTTCGAAGTCCCGCATGCGAAATTTGTCTTTCCAGTGGTTAGCAGCAATGTGGAAATGGATCTCAAGTACTTCACGAAAGCTTAGTGGAGTCGTGGTGATTTCGGACTCTCGACAACGTTTTTCTTGTAGATTACACGTGTACTACTAGTTGAGGAATTATATACAGTCTATTCGGATCGGCGAAACAGTGAAAATGACAGCGCCCGAGATGAGATTACTTAGGTGAAGCGGAAGCTTGCGCACAATAATACTATGAATTCTTCTTACATCCTTGTTACTGTCCATGCATATTTCTATAGCTACTAACCTGAACTGCAATCACCAGCACCCATCACGAGTCAGTACCGTCACACCCTCGAAAATCGACTGGACGAGATTTTGTCACACCGGCACAACACCGGCACGTTTATTTGGCATTATTTGGTGCCAATGTTTTAGAGCCCGGCGGTCTGTCGTTCACGTCAATCACTACACAACCGATAAAGCCAAAATAGGAATATTCACGGCAGGTATGTTTAGATATCTCCGATCACACTCAGTAAAATTCACCGTTAATAGACCTACTAAAACATGTCGCGAGTGATTTACGGTCCTCAGATTGGTAGTGGTCGCGTAAGTCGTTCTCGTATTTAATGCAGCCCAATACTTACATTTAACAGACACAGCTTGAGCTGTTAGCGGCAAATATGGTACGCATTTAGTGCCGCGTCGCCGTCGCGGGGACCTGACTTCATTACCCGAGGCGGCCGCTGCTCCGCGAGCGCCAAGCCTGTTCAGCAGATTGATGCGCTCTTGCGCCGACATATGGACCCGGATAGTGGAAAAACTAAAATCGGTGTTCGATTCATTCGCATACTAACAGAATGCTCTAGAATTGAACTTGATACCCACAAGCATATGCATACCACATCGCTAACTAGTAGTCTATACCATGCTCCCGACTTCCCAATCACCCAACATCATTGTATCATGCTTTCAAATCACATCACATCTAGTATATACTGTATAAACATACCATGTAGTATATACTATTAATAGAACAGTACTGGCACACGACATCGAGAATATTTCCAATATTTTTGTCGATCGAATCGATTTAACTAGTCCGATTTCTTGTGTTTCACGCTCAATTCACGCTGATTTCGAGTCTTCAAAGATCAGGCAAATCGGATCGCAGATCTGAGCGAAATCCGATCGAATCATTTTTGCAGCACTGCCACATGTTCACCGGCGGCATCGCAACCGTGACTTCAAGTTGAAAACTCCCACTGATCATCATTTTTGCACATCATACTCTGGTCACACGCTGTGACCACCGTCGCCTCATACACAAACTCCTTCATGATCTCTTGCAAAGCTTCGCGTTTGAGATCTGGCGAGGAAGCACTATGGCCTCGATGTACCGTCCTCCACCTCTACCTGTGAGATCTGGCGACTTTTATGGATTACAAGGTATGCTTTCTAAACGTCAGATGTTTTTCTCGATTCTCATTGTGCTACTGAAGATTCAACAGCCTATTGATATAAATCATGTCACGGTAACCGTAGCTACGGTGTGTATCTTCATGCAGGTGTAACTTACTGTGGTCTGATTGCTTTGTAGATGAAGATACACGCGGATTATTTGTACTTTCCGGTTTCAACGCTACGGTAGGGAACGCGCATGATATGGATAGCCAGCATTTGGGCGGCCAACATCATCCATCTCTCAGTCATTCAACCCAAAGTTCTTCTTCTTCTGCTATCGACTTAACTATCACTATCACAGGCCTTGCCACTTCAAGTTCAGCTCCTCCGAGTCCGAATCCGTCTCCGACACTTCATCCTTCAGTGGATGGTGGTCATTTCGTCGCTCGCAGACGAACAAGCTGGGCAAAGTTAGACGCAGGGCAGGATCCCTTACGCCCGAACCTTTCGTTAACTATGGAGGCTGGTCCTTCACGAACACCGCCCAGGCCATTTACTCCGGATGGGAACCCAGTTTATTCTCCTAACAATGGATTCTTTGCAAACACATTAACGTACAATGGGAATTCGATCTACAGTGGCTTGCTCTATACTGCTGCACAAGCTGGTCCATCCTCCGCTTCCTTAATGTCTACTCCAGAGTCTGACCTTGACTCATCGAAGGACGGAGACGATGTCCATCTCACTGGTACCAACTCTCGATGGAAATCTGCAAGTGGGAGTTGGGCTAGTGCTGATTTAAATGTCGACTCCGAGCGTAGGGGAGGTACTACAGGCCCCACTAGGCGGTGGACACTACATTACAGTTCTCCACCTTCCCCTCTCAAGCGAACGGGCTCAGCGTTCAGGGTAATGTCCAAGCACCTTCGACGCGCGTCTCTCCGCATCGTTAATCTTTCAAACCATCCCTTGGACAATTCCATCCGCATACCGGACGAGGACTTTGACGATGGCGAGTACTCTCCCACGCAAGATAGCAAGGAACCCTTCGAAGAGCAATGGAACGAAGAACAAGTTTTCCTCAGTAGAAAGCTGACTCCCTTGCGAGGGCGCACTCTCGGTTTCTTAGACTCCTCAAGCACATTTCGTCTTCGCCTTTATCGCTTCCTTTCTCACCCGTAGGCCTCTTTCTAGGTTTCTCCCGCCCGACACTATTAATCATTCCTGTAGATGGACAGAACCTCTAGTACTTTGTTTGATAATTCTTAATGCTTGTGTATTGATATCTCAAGCGTCTCACTCGGCTCTTCTTCCCTCGGAACAATCTATGCCAACCCCACAAAAGGGTTTCTTTCGTGCTTGGGAGGATTATGTTCTTTTGGGGTTGTTCATCCTATTCACGTACGTTTCCTATTGGTTACCATCCCCTCAGCCTGATCCCTCCTGTTAGGTTTGAAGCAGTTGCTCGAATATGTGTTTCTGGATTTTTGCTAGATCCTGAAGTTCCAGTATCGGCTTTCTTTGTATCTTCGACATCAGCAATAACCCCTACAGTCGACTTCGAGGGCAGTTTCTTCTGCATCCAGTTCCTTGTCACGCGGAATCTCCTTAAGGCCCTTTTATGATCGTATATCGCGGCCATTCAAACTCTCCGAGACTACCCCTTCACGTTCGATGCCTGACACAGTGTTTGGTCCAAGCCATTTGCCTCATGAGGCTTCGCGTCAAGAAAAACAGGCCATTGTAGATGAACATTCTTCATGCGCCCATCTCCGAAATCCCTCGCAGCCAACTTTCTTCTCCCGGGCCCTTCGGTCAGACCAAACGCCCCCGGACGTGATCTCGCTGCCATTCCGATTAAATATCAATAACGCACGCGACAAGGTGTATCGCAATATGCCATACTTGCGCCAGAGCTGGGGAAGAATTGACTTTATCGCCATTCTTAGCTTCTGGTTGAGCTTTACACTCGCCATGGCAGGCGTGGAGTGTGGGTCTCATCATGTCGCTGCATTCAGAGCGATGAGTGTGCTGCGAATCAGCAAGACTTCTCGCTATCACGTCTGGAACCACTGTGAGTTTGCGGACGGCACTTTATATCTGTGTGCTTACACCATTCTACAGACAATCATGCACTCACTGAAGATCGCTCGGCCGCTGCTTACTAACGTGGCATATTTTGTTATTTTCGCTGCTGTGTTATTCTCGTGAGTCTATCCAGTTTCTTTCTGGATGCTCATCGAACATGAAGCAATCTTGAAGAATAATTGGAATTCAATCTTTCAAGGGTTCTTTTCGACGGAAATGCTATCTTCAGCCCACCTTGGGAGAAAGTCAAACGCAAATATCACAATCTTGCGGTGGTTACATTGACCCGACTACCCTGAACGTCTCTCCCTATTTACAATTGGACGGTACGTCAGGCCCTGCGGCCAAGGGTTATATCTGCCCTCTGGGGCAGGTTTGTCAGGTTCGTCGCTTGAAGTTTCATTGACGGACGATGATCTCATAATTTCGGTTCAGGAGGGAGACAATCCATACAGTGGCATCCAGAGCTTCGACAATATTTATTATGCCGCGCTTCAAGTTGTCGTTGTGACCTCTGCCAATGGCGTACGTGTTCTTTATTCATATTTCTGTCGCGCTAATGTCCTCTCAGTGGTCCCCTATCATGTACTCGATCATCGATGCCGAGTTTTTCGTCTCCTGCTTCTTTTTCACTGTCTGTATCAACATGATCGTGTCGAACATCTGGCTTATCAATCTACTCGTCGCAGTGACCACGAACACGTTCTCTGCCATATGTGCGGATATGAAGAAGAGTGCCTTTGGTGCTGCACCGTGCGTTTCTTGACCTATGTATATATATGCTGATTTTAACGTCAATCCAATCTCACAGACTAGGACCTGTCGTCGAGGATTGCGAAGAGGGTTGGGTGGATGGGAAACACGTTTCTCAGAACAACTCTCTCAAGGAATTCTACACCCATACGCGCTGGTGCTGGGTATTTCTAGCTCTCGCGTCGCTCGTCGTACAAGCCACCGCCAGTGCCGACATGAGTGACCTACATCAACAGATACTTGACAAGTCAGAGCTAGTGCTTACAGTGGCCTTCGACATCGAGATCATCATGCGCATCGTAGCAGAGCTCCCAGCTTGGCGAAGGTTCTTCAAGCATGGGAACAACTGGCTGGATCTCGTGTTGGCTGTGGGGTCGAGCGTCATTCAGATTCCGGCCACTCACAACTCGGAGCTGTACCCCTGGTTGACAATATTTCAACTAGGGAGGTTCTACAGGGTGATTCTAGAGTTCCCAAGAATGAAACCGCTCATGGTGAGTCTAGTCACCATCTGAACATCTGACAGATGACTAAACCGCTTCAGCTCACGGTATTTGGGAATCTGTACGGTCTAGCGAATATGACGCTTTTCTTGCTCCTCGTCAACCTCCTTGCCGCATTGGTCTGCGAGGAGCTCATTCGCGGCGATATGACCGACTCAACCACGTTGAATTTCGGACAGCTGTGGAATTCGTTCCTCGCTGTGTACCAGATCTTTTCTTCCGAGAATTGGACGAACGTCTTGTACGAGGCAGCTGATGCAGAAATCTCCTTGGGGCAAGCGGTGATCGTGACCGTTTTCTTATCTTCGTGGCTTATATTCGAAAATTGTAAGTCGCCGATAGTGCTCATGCGTATCGCCTTGCTTCGTTAACATGCATTGTTTTCTCTAGTCATCGTGATGCAGATGTTCATCGCTGTTATCCACGAAAACTTCAGTGTCGCGGAAGAAACGAAGAAGAGTAAACAAGCATCGGACTACTGGGCTCAACATCACCCGCAAAGAGTCACGCACAAGAGTTGGACTCGCAAGCTGAATCCGTATCGATGGATCAAGGCAGATCCCGTTCGCGTCAAGGTCGAAACCTTCCTTCAAATCTGGTCTTGCCGATGCAGAAGACGCTCGTGCAAGATTACGGGGTTATTGGACAGGACAATCGAAACGGGGCTGTATGTGGTTTTGAGTGTGTGAGTTGACAGGTTACTGATATTTCGAAGAAACCCGTTCCATTGAAGGGTGCAAAGCATCTCCCTTCGAAATCGTCGACAATGCTTCAACAACTGTTTTCTGGGACTACGAATTCTAATGATGTACCGTTGGTAGCCTTACGACAGGGCCGTCGTGATTCGACAACTGTGCAAGACGAAGAGACGGAGCGTTATCTGTGAGTTTCTGGTCACTGTAAGCAGCAGTTTTACTCACACGAACTTGTAGCGATATTCTCGCCAAGGCGAGCAGCGGCGCTGACGCAACTGAGAACGACCATGATGAGCACTCCGAGCGGAAGGCCCAGAAGGCGGACTTCATCATTGACCACCCGACGTATGACAAGACCTTTTGGCTTTTCTCGCAAGAAGATCGTCTCCGGAATATGTGCCAGAAGGTTGTCAAGCCTGCTGGCGGAGAGCGCTTATTCGGATGCCCACCCTCCGACGTTGCCCATACGCTGTTTCAGCTGCTGATCTTGTTGACCGTGCTTAATGGTAACATCACGGAGGGCGTAGCCACCCCTTTGTACCGGTGCAATTACTACATGGAGCACGGTGTGGCGCGTGATACTTGGTTCAACATCGCCGAGATAGCGTTTGGCGCTCCTTTCCTAGTCGAGTTCATTATCAAGATTATTGCCGATGGTTTCCTGTTCACTCCAAACGCCTACGTCAAGAGCATATGGAATATCCTGGACTTCATTATACTCATCGGTATCCTAGTCAACTTGTCGTTCGCGCTCATTTTCGTCAGCGGATTGACTCGTTCCATCCACACCCTCAAGGCTCTTTGAGCTCTCCGCCTCGTGACCTTGATCGAGAAGATGCGAAACGCGTTCGAATCACTCATTATTTCCGGGGCGACTCGTATCTTGGATGCCGCCGTTTTGGCGATCCTGTATCTGATTCCCTTGAGTGTGTGGGGGTGTAACGACAACAGTGTCCAAGGCGTCGATGGTTGTACCAACGAGTTTGTCAACACAATATACGGCACATCTTTCGGATTTTGGCCCCTCGTGCCTGGGACAATCCTTCACCTTCTATGACGTTCTCCTTCGACAACTTCCGATCTTCGATGCTCATTCTTTTTGAGATTGTGTCGTTGGAAGGGTGGATCGATGTCATGTCGGTCGCGATGAGTATCGCTGGGAAGAATCAACAACCGCAGCGCAACGTTTCACAAATCAACGCCATCTTTTTCATCATCTACAATTTACTTGGAGGCGTTGTGATTCTGACACTTTTTGTCAGGTGAGACTTATCCTTTATGGATCATCGGTCTGTTGGCTTATGGCTTACTTAGTATCATCATCGGCAACTTCTCATCTAAGACGGGCTCTGCATTCCTGACCCAACCTCAGCGAGAATGGATCGACCTGCAGAAACTGATCAAACGCCAGAAGCCGTCAAAGCGTCCTCAGATTCGGCCTACTCAACTATTTCGAGAATGGTGCTACGACCGTGCAATTCACAAGCACGGCTGGTGGATGCGAATGATGACGTGCTGGTTTGTCGTACAAATTATCGTTCTCATGTTTGTGCCTCTTCCTTTGCTGGTTAATTATCTGAACTTATGTTTTTCAGGACGCAAACATTTACAGTCCATGAAGCTGTTCCAAAATTTCAAGGTTAGTAATGGGTTTGCTTCTATCTCCTTTCGGTCCTTCAATGTACTTCCAGACGACTTTTCGTTGATCATCACAACGATGTACGTCATCGATATCGCAGTCAGGTTCTACGGTGTTGGCTGGAGGAGTTTCCGAGCTAACGGGTGGAATCTGTTCGATGTTGTGGTGGCCGGCGGCAGTTTTATCACGACATTGGTTGTCCGGTTTGGGTACACGGGTTTCGTTGTCGAGCAGCTACAGAAGCTATTCCTCGTCAGCATCGCATTCAAGCTCGTACAGAGGACCAGCTCTTCAAGACTGTGATGTAAGTGGAGCAGTCATGTATTGATTAACTGCTGACTTTTTGCAGGGCGAGCTTGCCCGTCATCTTGGACCTCCTGGGACTGTGGTTCATACTCTTTATCTTCTTCGCTATCATGTACATGGAAGGATTCAGCTTGACAAAATGGTATTCTGCAGAAACTCACACTCAAAACTACCAAACCATGGGCTCGGCACTCGTGATGCTTGCATTCATGAGTACGGGGTAGGTATTTTCAACGCTTTCTCATGATATTTTCTGAGATGTCTACTCGTAGCGAGGGCTGGAACCAATATATATGCATGATTTGTATGTGATCAGACGGTCCTTTTTTCTGATGTTGACGTTGGTTTAGCACACTGGCATATCCGCGGTGCACTATCAAACCTACCTCCGACGTTGCCCATACGCTGTTTCAGCTCCGGATCTTGTTGATCGTGCTTGGTGGTTCAACATCGCCGAGATAGCGTTCGGCGCTCCTTTCCTAGTCGAGTTCATTATCAAGATTATCGCCGATGGTTGAAACCGCTAAGAGGCTCGCTCAGCATGACGTACGTCTCCACGGCATCGTTCTCATCAACTGTCCTATCCTTTAATACCATTGTAGTACCATTATCTATTGCATTGTCTTTGGATATACAATTCAGTGAATATGTGACCTGAATCTGTCGTTTATATCTATAAGAACCTTCTCACTGGTTTCCTGATGCTCACTAGTAGACCACCGCCCTTACATCTTTACCAGTGGCTAGGAGGATGCTGGGTGCATAGCTGAATTCTAGTTATAAAAATTTTCAATGCACTGTACTTGCACCGTACAGCATGTTGATATTCCAAAAGAGGTAATTACAGCAGGTAGCCGCATGGCAGTGCGGAAAGAGTTTGTATGCACAACCACGACTTCAACTACAAGCTGGAAAACTGATGGTAAGTCAAATTGTCCTGACGTACATACTTCTAAGGTTCGCGTCACACTCTAGGCTCAACAGCAAGTCGCGAAGTTGCTCGAGCGGGGTATTGGTATTTGGCCAACTCAACTTCCACGGTACGCTGAAGTAGTGATGCTGTGAGTTCCCGTCTATAGCTACTAGTACTTTAATTCTGATTCAATTATCGGTTTCTCCACACCGTAAGTGCAGACGATGCTTATGAAAATACCTCAGTCCGGACGAAGGAAATTGATAGCCCTCAGTAGGTTGCCTTTGTCACTGCTTAATGGCCTCAATCTAACGCTATCAACAGACCCGCAATATACGGTAATTGGCAGGAGTTGGTTCACCCGTTGGGAGGTACTTACTATCATCACATTACAAAGGTGAGCGCTGATCAGTTGTATGAGTAATGCGCTCACATGATGTAAATTTAGAATGCGTTTACGCCGATGAACCTAAGGCGTTATCTGGATCTTCACAGCCTTGAGGATTTTATTGACGCGTCACGAGCCGCAGCAAACGAGGATGGGTGGATACTGGTCGTTCTCCCGACGATCTTTATGGGAGAAGAACGATTTCGATATTATTATGTGGTTCCCAACCAGCACGTCATTGCATGGCTAGAAGATATGAATGGTGAAATCTTATTCGGAGAATGTATCCAGCCAAGTGAATGGGGACATAAGAGTATGTTACCTTCCCCTTTTCTTTTTCTTGGTTTGATTTTGATTATACAGGACTCGAACTCGAGGCTCAATATTGGTGAGTAGTTACCCAAGGATATCACCCTGATTGACTAAATGTATTCACTGCTTGATAGGAAACACTTCGAGTTTTTTCCGCATCAATTCCAAATGGCAAGCTGGCAAGTGAGATCTATATGAAGAGAATTTGTCTGCTACATCGGAGGTAAGTCCTATACTACTTCAGCGAGTGCCAAAATCACCCGAGCGAAACAGAAGCCACAACTTTGGGTCAATCCTCTGCTGTTTCGATGTTCTGGACTCTTGACCAGATGAATCAGATTGGTACACATTTGGCTACTATCGGTACGTGCTCACGTCTCCCTTGCGCATCATCCTGACGACTGAGAAACAGAAAGCCTTGCCAACAATGAGATTATAGAGGAAACTGGCACCGTGTTCTGTTGTACGTGCGCTTAGAATTTTTTGCCCTTTCGGATGCCGATTTCCATTTTAAAAGGCAGGATATTGTATATACTGCGTACGTGGTTTTCTTATGATCAAATGTCATTAATATTTTAGACCACGTAGGGCACCACCAGTTTCTGAACCGCCACAATCAACCTGAAGCCCGTCTTATTCGAAGCCATGTGGTGAGAGAGACGCACAGGTCGTGTAAACTTTTTATTTTCATGAGCAATGCGGCAGCTATGATGCTGTGCATGCCAATCACGATTGGGCGCATTAGGAGTACTTCTATTGACGGCGTCTTGAATGGAGTGGAAGTGAATTCGTTTATCGACGGTTTCAGCAGCCAAGCGAAAAGTCAAATCGCCCTGGTAAGTTCTTTGCAAATGTAAATCCTCCTTGCTTATTTTGCCTTGACAGGCAGGAGTCTCTATGGCCATGGATATCGCCATCCTTGCCATACCGGGTCTCGGGACAACAGAGACCTCACAGACTCTGTGCTCCTGCTCTTTTCTTTTCGGTGTTGGTTGTATTTTTGCGGGCACGATGGTGCAACACTTTGGCGAGAGAATGAGATCCATGGACTTCGCGGTACGATTAAACATTATCTTTCTGTAGCTTAAGCTTGACCTTTCTGACCTCACAGTCATATTACCTGCGACAAAAGACGAAAATGTTTATCGTTATTACAGGCATACCAACTACTTTCTTTGTACTGAGGTAAACAAATTCTCATTATGATTGCTTGCGTCTCTAATAGAATCACCGGCAGTGTGACAGGTTCCATTCTCGGATTTCTCTCTGGTGTCGCCACTGATTTCAAGCCATCCGCACCGATAATGGCCGCAACCCTTATTACGCTTGGCGTTGTGATGGGTTCGCTGCTTGTTTGGTGCTTGCCAGTTATGGCCCAGGACCTGGCCAGGGTGCGGCCCCAGTGATATCCTTGTCTGGATATCCTTGAAGATACTCTCTGGAGCAGAGTACCGCAAATAGAGTGGAATGTACTTCAAGTTGGACAAACGTACTCGTACGTGCTGCACGAGTACTTTCAGTCCAGTACCCAAAGGGTAGTTAACGAATGCAACATTTCCCAGCCAAATATGCACCCCAATTTCCCTCATTCTTCTGATGGATTGCCTACTTATCCAGGCGTTTTTTGGTCAGCATTTTCAAGCGTTGAAACGGGCGCCGAAAACCCACAGCTTTATTGTACTTTTATGCTCGCAACGGGCATCCAGCTTATTTGATCAGAGCGCAGATGTTCATGGTTTGCTATCAAAATTCTACATTACGACAGTGAGGACTAACGACGCTAGACTGACCTTACGCTGTCGATGTTCTCTGCGCTGCAGCAATAGTTTTTACGGCGGTGCTACGGTATATCTTCTCCTTTCATCCATTCAAAGTCGTCATCCATTCAACGTCGTCGTCATTATCGCCTAAGTAAGCCAGTCAGTTTATTCGAGGAAAGGCTGCGTCTGACGCACTGAAAATGGGAAATTGAATGGGAAAAGGGGCATCCCATTCAATCTGACGAGGAGAACATGTGCTGACTCCAATCGGCACATATTCTTCAAAGATTCTTGCTCAATGATATTCCTCCAGCCAGCGCAATCTGTATACTTGGTACTGCGCTTGAAGCCTCGAGCAGCCCAATTCTGCGAGCCATAGTTGCTCCTTCAGCTTGGCTATGGATTCTTCCTCGCACCTTTCGTGGATGTGCTCCGGCAAATGAAGTACTTCTTTGTTCTCTGCCAAGGCCGAGCTCTTCTCGATATCCGCCTTGCTGGTATATGATAAGCTTTGAGAAATGACAAGGATCATGTCCATGCACCTTACACCAACAAGCCCCTCATGCTCGCTCTTTTGGTTGGCATTGCCTGTTATTTCGATTCTAGGGAACAGAGTTAACAAGTCCTGCCAGCGAGTAGGCATAATTGGGTTTACTGGAGATTGACACTAATGATATTTCCAGATAGATTGAAGGTCTGAGTCTGACGCAAGGATTGCTGCATCTTTGGGTTGAACCTAGGCGGCCGTATTCTCTAGTTGTGATATGCAAGAAAATGCAACATCAGGGAAGCTTTATTATGCGTATTAATCTGCTAACGCTTTTTAAGCCGTGAGGTTAATTGCCATCAATTTGACGAAAGGTAGTTCAGCCCTGGTGGGCCATTTGTCACTCCCCTGGCTGACGGCCTGCGCCACGGCCAGCGGTTCGCCCTGCCTGCGCCATCAGGTACGCCCTTGCTAAAAATCTCACACGACTCAGTACTGGAGATAAAAGGCTGAATTTTATCCTTTGCAAAGTCCAATCTATCTTTTCCTCGCTAGCTCTCATGACCACTGAAGATTCAACTTCCAGCATCCCGAGCAAACGCGCCACGTCAGCCCTTCAAATGGGCCTCTGCAAAAAGTGTAAGTTGTCCCTAATGTTGGGGACAGGTTTGGCTAACTCATCTTGTCGGCCAGCTCTTCGGCAGATCCTCTTGTATCACACGGGCGCCACTTCGGTCGAACGGTGTTCGCGTTATGCAACTATCCCTCTCTGCTCACCAATGGAGTCCTTAGGTTAGAACAAATGGAAGACACTCCTCTGGAAAATTTCTCGGCTGAGTAAAAAGATATCATCTTTGTCTGCTAGCTTATGGACTGACTCGTTTGGCAGAGAACGACGCGAGCATCGCGTATTCGAACAGCTCTTAGACTCTTACCCTGGCCTATTAGAGCGACTTAGGAACGGTTCCGAAGAGGAAATTCTGCACGTTGGAGAGCTAGTATGTTTGTTCTTTACATTACCGGGGTTCAAGCTTACGATTTTTAAGATTGGCAAGGGAGCGTCAGGCGCGAGAGGTGACGACACTAAATCTTTGAAGTCTGCAATACTCGATTGGATTTCCCCGAAAGGAGCCTCGATCCAGCCTCCTTTACATAGGAACTCGAAGATCGATCGTGGATTCAACCATGAACTTACCGGGTCACTACTTTGCCCCGCAGGGTTAGACTGGCACGACCCAGAGTATGCTTTCATTCTTTGGTGTCCGCAGTTCTGACAACTTGAAACAGGACGAGAGAGAACCTGCGCAGTGGTGAAATCTTGGTCTGCGGAGACCAATGGCCCGTTTTCTTATATGCCAATCAGACCTATGACGATGAGGATCCATGGTGCGGCCTCCTCAGGAGTCGCTTGCTGACATCTGTAAGTGGGCACACATATTCACTGATCCGTTCACTATACTATTGTCAGGCTTATAAGCATGTCTTCACATCCCCAAGCTCGGTCGACAAGGACCCAAAAGCCACGCGATCCGGAAACGCTCGCCTCCATGGCATGAGCTGTGTCACCATCGCCTCCATCGCCTATATTGCTACTCAGGTTCGTCAATGCCATATGTTTATAGCTCAATGATCTTGATGTACATGCGTTTGAAGGTTCGATTTGCGCTAAGCTCGTCCTCGGTGTTTTCACGAAGCGACACATCTACAGATTCAGAGACATTCTACCACAGCCTCCTCGACCTTTTCGAGGACCCGGACGAATCTAAAGAAGTTGACGAGCTACTAATATGGTGGAATCGGTATTGTCATAACTTTTGACCATTTCGCCGAGCTCATTGCTTTGTATCCAGTCAGGTCTTCCCTACTTCCTCTGCCGCCCAGCGGCCTATTAGTGCCAACAGTGCCCTATCGAAAATACGAATCAAACGTCTTGCGAGTAAAAACGCTACGGATCCGAATGCATCTGTAGCCTCTATATAGTCTTCATTCGATGTTTTATATATAGTAAATACATATACAACCTAATACCAGCATGATCTGACTCTCGCAACCAAGCTAACGCGCTAAAAGTTCAAAAATAACGAGTTGCAAGGCAGATGATACCGCATTGTCAGTTAAGCCGCTCCTATGGACAAAAGGCAGCGTAATCCAAGACGGGCTGCTCTGAAATTGATTATCTAGCGCCGGCGTTGATGACCAGTTGCTGCAGTATGGTACTACTGATATCATTGCTCCACATCCATGGGCCGAAGGCAGCTCAACCCGACACAGTCTACCCTTGGAAGATATACAATTGTGCCAGTATTTATGGGGAATGGATGAACTCCCTCACCTTGCGATTGATGATCACGGCTCAGCGGGCGCTGGAGTATGGCACCACAATATCATTGCTACGCACCCTTGGGTCGAAGGCAGCTCAAACCGAGACGGCCTACCATTGGAAGGCATAGTCTGGGGCTGGCATTTATGTAGAGTTTGTAAGTAATACACCGACTCGCTCGCGTTACAACTGATGATCACACCTTAGCGGGCGTTGGAGCACGATACTACAATACCATTGCTCCACACCCTTGGGCCGCAGGCAGCTCGAACCAAGGCAACCTATCCTTGGAAGGCATAATCTGGGGCTGGCGTTTATGTAGAGTTTGTAAGTAATACACCGACTCGCTCGCGTTACAACTGATGATCACACCTTAGCGGGCGTTAAAGTACGGTATTGCAATACAATAGTTCCGCACCCTTGGCCCGCAGGCAGCTCGAACCAAGGCGGCCTATCCTTGGAAGGCATAATCTGGGACTGGCGATTATGGAGAGTTGGTGAGTAATGCACCAACTCGCTCGCGTTACAACTGATGATCACACCTTAGCGGGCGCTGGAGTACGGTATTGCAATACAATAGTTCCACACCCTTGGGCTGAAGGTAGCTCGAACGAAGGCAGCCTACCCTTGGAAGGCATGACCTGGCGCTGGCATTTATGGAGAGGTTGTGCAGGATAAAATAGTGAGCTAGCATTACATGTCATGAACATATGCCGTCAGGATTGGGAAGGCTGATAGCACATTGTCATTACTTATTCACATTCCGTACTCTACCATGGCTCTACACGATTGCACCCTCGGCAACTTCGATCCCACGTAGTCCGGCCATATACGACTCTATCTGACATAACCATTTTTATAGAGATTGTGAAGGATGAAAAATCTGCCAAAGGTTATATGTCATGACCAGGGTAGGGCAAAGTTATTGTATATTACAAGTATAATCTACTAGGTGATTGTGGGGTACTTGAAAAACACAATATTGTTTTGTCATGCTGGTAGGCGTGACAATGTAAGCCACGTTGATGACGAGCTGGTAGATAATTGTAACAAAACTGACACATATGTGTATTTGGCGGGTTCTATCCGACGTAGTCCGGGTATTCAAAGCTTTCTCAAGTGAAATATAATTATGATATATATTATACGGATTGTACTTCAGACAAAGCTTTCTCAAACCTTATCATTTTCGGGTCGGTTTCCTGATGTAGTAGTGTGGTATACACCGCTTTTACTTAGGTGAATAAAGTCATTCTCTCATCCTTCCTTTGGATAGCAGCTGAGTGCAGTATACACTGCTTTTACTTGGTTTTGTCAGATTCAAGTTGAGGACACTCTCCTTTATTTGCCTTATGAACTTCTACATACGTAGGAGTCTTTGAACCGACCTTAGCCTGACATTGCTTATCACGTTGCTATACGTCAGAACTATCCCAGTTCGCAACAACTACATGAAAATGTCTCTAAACTTAAAGTGCAAACCTTGTGACGAGCCCACTGTCTACAACCAGCCTGCAAAGCGGCAGAAAATCACCAAGGACAATCCTCAAACTTCAGCTCATTCTACAGCCAGTGAATGCACTTTTTCTCACCAAAATCTCACACTCTCTGATTGGATGACAGTCTATTATTTATTGATTCACATCCTACTGTGACACAAACTGAAATTGTCAAACACTTGAAATCTCTCAAATCGGGTGCACTCATTTTCACGCAGTCAATATCACACAAGTTACGGGAATGTCCAAAATGGAAGCACAGGTCAATGATAACCCTAGTGCATTGTCATCAAAGCAGCCAAGAATTGTGACGAGGCCTGATGTCGAGCATGCCTTGATTCTATGGGTTAGGCACAATATGGAGAATAGATGTGAAACAGTGATTGGGCCTATGCTGCGGGAGAAACGGAAAAGGTTTGAAGACGAGTTTGATGTCACACTTTTGGCGGAGGTCACATGTGTCACAATTATGTGACAAATATCGTCTTGCATATTCCTCATAAATTATAAAGCATGACATTTTGGCGGTCCCATCGGTATGCATTATGACCATTTCAACTGTACTACAAACCCTAGACTGGTAGTTCAGTAGCGAGATATTTACAGTGTAAGCACAGAAAAATATGTTCCACCAATCGCGTTGCTCCATCACCAGCGCCGTAAGCTCACCGTAAGCATCAAACTTCTTTTTGACAAGCGAAAATTATGGGTCTTTTGCTGATGAAAGTGAAAACTTATCGCGCAAGCTAAGCGAGAATGGACGTCAGTCAGGTATAGTGAGAATAAAACATACAGTCAGTTCCTGAGCTAATACTGGTCTAGACCTGATAACGTTCCTCGCGCATCAATCTTGGTTGTGTGTGTCTTGGCCTGCCAGCTAACGGACATCGGCGTGTATCAAAACCCGACTTGGAGTGTAATGACTTTACAACAACTCTGCACCGACAGACAGTCGAGTTGTTAAGATGGCCACGATTCGGCAACCGTCGACCCAGACCGAAGGATTCAAGCATGCCACCTCCCTGAGGGCACCGCACACTCAAACTTTTACAGATTTGAACGTAAAATCAGACGTTATTGAAGATGTTATTGACAATGAGTGGGAACAAGGAATTCCCATGCCAAGTAGCATGCCATACCCCTCCGGTATTGCAAGCTCAGGGATATCTGTTAGGAAGCTCTCCTTAACAACATATTCGAAGACGGTCGTTCCAAGCGCTCACGGAGGCATATAAAATGAGCACGGCTGGTGTACCTGGTTTTCCGTTCCAGTTTTTTCCCTCCTTGCACACTTCAAGTCACAATGCCCTCCAAGGCAAGAGCGTTGGCCGAGCTCACCAGGATTCACTGGTTTCCAGTGGGGTGTGACTTCATGTTCTGGCCTTTCGGTGAGTCATAGGATGCATGCGGGACGTTACTTGTTGGTTGATTTAAATCTCAATTCATCGTACCTAGCGTGGGGCTCCCTGGCGGCGTCATACCATGTGGCATTACCCATGAATGAAGTTGTCATAAACACTTTGTTCTATGCATTGTTGGGAACACTGGTGCATAGTGCAGGCTGTGTCATAAACGATATGCTTGATCGCGACTTCGATCGCAAAGTTGGTATGTCAGTTCCGTCTTGACTGTCACTCATCTCTTGACGCTGTTCAATCAGAACGTTCGAAAGGCCGACCGATCGCGTCGGGAGCTGTCACTATGACAGAGGCCTCGATTCTTCTGTTCGTGCTCGTTGCTGCCATCTTTTACATGTTTTCGACTGCTGGCACTACGGCGTAAGTAGATCATTCAACAAGTATCAAGACTTCCCTGACATGCAATTCCAGTCTCACACTGGGTCTTGTTGGACTCCCTGCTTGTGGCGGGACATATCCACTGATGAAGCGTTGGATGTATTGGCCGTCTTTGTACCTCGGTACGGCTTTTTTGAAATTAAAACTTGTTTATCGTCTTATCCAGTTCCAAGGTTTTGCTGCTAGCTGGGCCGTCCCATTCACGTGGGTGGCAATTACGGGTGAGTTCGATTGGGGCATGATCCTGAACGTCGCAGTTGCGTCGTGCTGGTAAGTACCAGCAAGACGTTTTTTCTTCGAAGGGCTGACGGTGCCTCCCTAGCTGGACGTGTCTTTACGACACTATCTACGCGTGCCAGGTGACTAGCCCATTTTATTTGCATTGAAACGTGGGTATTAATTGCATTATCTCAGGACAAGAAGGACGACGAGAAGGCTGGAGTCAAGTCCATGGCGGTTCGTCTGGGCGATGGCATTCGTTTGGCATTGAGCGTATTGATGTGATTTTCTTTGCGTGTCTTCTGTGGGCTGGATACTTGAACGACCAACATCTCCCGTTCTACGTGATGAGCGTCATTGCGCCCTTCCTCCTCTGTCTCTGGCACATATGGTCATTTGATCATAACGATCCTAAAGACAGCTGGGAGAAATTTACAGTACGTTGGACTGATATAACCACAAGCTTATTCTGATATCCTATTGTACTACAGGCAGGTCGCCATGGTGCAGCGTTGGTTTGTGCAGGATTGTTCGTGGATCATTACTTCAATCTTGCGTCTCTGGCCATTTGAGCATGCACTTTCATCTCGGCTGGATTCATGGTGGCACCTTCAATAATCATATTAATGTGCACACTCCAGTGACCTTGCGCTTTCGTGTTTTTCTCTTAGAGTATTGCTTATGTTTTCCTATCTAACTCATAGACAACTGATGACATAGTATGATAATTACATCCAGATGTCAGGCTACAAATTTGGGGATGTTGCTTGCCGTGCATGACTTTCATACTCTGGCAACATATTAATGTAGTCTGTCTACATACGATGATGCAGAGTATTGAGAGTTGCTCCGATGTATACGGCTACAGAGAAATCAAACAAGCCTGTCGTCCTTCCACTGTGATTTACTTGGAAGGAGAGACTAAGTAACTATATAAGCAGTCCATAGGTGCGTATTGCGCATAGCGATTCGTTGAGGTATGCCAATTTAGAATCGAAGGCCCTCCTGAATCGAGATGCTACACTAAGACCTTCATAGTGCGAGTTATGAGATTGGATCCTCATCCGTCCTCATCGATCATCTCTATTAGCTAAGAAGAAGAAAGGTCTGCAGTTCATCCGCTAAGTCAATGGCCTTGTAAGGATGGCTTCGCCTCTAGCGATGGATGCACGCTGCATCAAACACTTCAACGATTCTGACTTCTCCTTCACATTTTCCCATTTTGTTCATATCCCTTAATTATCTCTCGACTATGCTCTTTCACTGCTTTAAGTTTACTTTGATTATCGTCTCATTTTCCTTTACACTTATACCGACGCTCTTCTCTTTCACGTCTCAAGATCTCACCACAGTGAATCAATTCCCCACAGAAATCATCGTTTCAGTCCGCCCAAAGAACTCAGATTATTCGGAATCTATCTATATACCAAAGTCTCTCAAAACTCTTGCCATTTGTATTCCCCTTCGAACTCGTCAGCACTCGAGCGATACACGTCGCATCCGCTTTACACCCAGACACACTACAGTCTTGAACATCGCGTCTCGGAAGTTATACTACCATTAAGTCTACACTTGATGTCCGTGCAGCCCCTCGGGTGTCCCTTAATCGAGACTGTGTATATCTTTGATCAATGATTACACCGATACGTGGACCGCCGACTGGCTTGACGACAGTCAGACGACTCCACTGGGTTTCCGTAAACGGGATATCCATATCAAAAACCATTCACCATGATGCACATGATGCACAAATCAGATGTGCATTTGCAATTCATTTGTATGAAGATCTGGTCCGCGGTGCCAGCGGCGGTAGCAGTGGTTGTACCGAATAGCGATCAACTCTTGCGTCATTTGAATTTCAGCAACACCATTTGGGTGATCTGGCAAAATACCTTGAACGAGCCGAAAAGCTGCACTACGATCCGGGATAATCCTTGGAGTTAAGTACGTTAGGCTTCCATACGAATCTGGGCTATCCTGATTAGCCAGCGGGGGATCGTGGAGAGAGGCGGTGGCCACGGGGACGCTGGTGCATGCACTACGATATGCTGTGCATTGTGTCCACGGCGTTTTGTCCCTGATGCATTGATGCGGAAACCCCGAGCATTGAACAACGCTGCGTATTGGATAAAGACAAGAGCTTACAGTGACAACTCCGACGTGTAAGAGGCCAAAGCCCATGATCCAAACCTCCGTTCAAGGTTGAGATCTATTATATGATAGGCCTCGAACCGGATGCGCAGCTTTTAGAACGATATTCCGGGTTTGCGGTTGTAAACATGGAGTGCCGCGTCAAAACGTAATGATTTCGTTGATACTCGTTCGAACTTCTTGAACAAGTCTGTCCAGCTGAATGAGTACTAAGTACTACTTGAAGGTAGACGGATCGTTCGGATATCTCTTGAGCTGTTCAAACGTTAGCATTTCCCCACGTGGGTGTCCCTACTCCTAGTCAAGAGTCATATAGAAGGGAGACTCTCTTGGGAGTTGCTTGAGACTCAGAGTCAGTCAGAGATAGAGTCGCAAATTGTTCAGGTGGCTGTGTTTCTGCAACTGTCACATGTCACAACAGATTCGTCCAGCCTAGCATGCGGTCCCGGACCTCACTGATGCACCTACGTGCATCTCGAACTTCGAAGAGGCCCCGCCAGTCGGCTCTTTTCCCGACCTGTCTTTTACCTGTGACGCAAGTGATCAGCAGTCCTTCGATGAAAATATCGCTCGTCCCCAATTCCCAACGAATCGTGGAGCGAGTTCCCGTTTCTTCTCACCCAGACGCTAACTCTCGATCAAAGAAAGGAACAACTGTCTTTCTTATTTCCAGTCCTGACTATTGAAGACAAACGCTAATTTATAATGGGTATTTAAACAAGAACTCAGGAATAGCGAATTACAACGATATGCAAGGTACTATGCCACAATGTCCACATGATATGATCGAGGTAAGTCTATAATATGATGAGATATGGCCAAATCTTAAATCCGAGGTTTTACATGGCTCTACTAACAGAGCTCCCACATCTTGACGGAGTCCCTGCGATATATCTCAATGTCAGAAGACGAACAACACGTTGAGGCACCAAACGACTTACACAACGAACGAACCACTCTCCCCGTCTGAACCCCAGGTGGGGTACCACGTATCCTGTGCCTGCGCAAAATCAAGCATGGCTGTTGGCGAGTTATCCAGCCATGGCTTGTTGTCTGCGTTATCGGGGAACCATCCGTTAGTCCCGCCAACTGCGAGATTAATAATGAGATAGAATGCTGTGTGTCGATCGGTGAGGTCAGGATACTATGCCTTCATAACTGTTCATAAGAGCTCACGTTGGTCGAAAGGTGTTGCATTGGTCCCGTTGATCCAAGGGTTCTGAAGAACAATGGGCTCTGATCCATTTTGGACCACAGCAGGGAAGTCTCCACGTGAAAAGAAGGGCTCGTTGAACGAAAGATCAAGCATATAGTGCAAACGAGTGTCAACGTAAATGCGACTGTCGAGTCTGTCAGAGGGTTGCCTACATTCGGAAGTAACTTGAAACTCACAGGAAACTGTCTGTCCACTCCAGTGCATAGGTGTGGAAGCCCTCCCCATAGTCGGTGCGTCTCTGTGTCCACCAGCCGAAAGTCTTGGACACGGCGTTCAAGAATGACAGGGGTCCCCAGTTGAGTGATCCGCGGACATAGTTGATACCCCTGTCAGGCAGATCGGCAATACAATCGCGGTCAGCAAATCGCGATTCTGTGAAGTGATCAGATGCCTCACTGATCAGGATAGCTGGGACCGTTTCCGCGTGATTCCATGATGTCGATTTCACCGCTCATTGGCCATGGTCCGTAGGTGTTGTTCACAGGAAGCATCCAAATGGCAGGCCAGAGCTGCAGAGCCGGTCAGTAAGTAATACGGTCTTGTTCTGACGGTGCAATACTCACCCAATCACTACAGGGAGCCAATGGTAAGTCAGTCTACACATCATATTGAAAAAAGAGTAATACGTACCCCCGTGGAACCTTGGCCACCACCTCAACACGGCCATATCGCATACTAGCTGAGTTACGTGTGGTGATCCTTGCACTTTGTATAGGGTTGATTATCGTGCCAGTGGTACTGTTGCTTACTGCACCGCAGGATTGATAGTAGGCAGTAGCGTCAAAGGTTGTGGTGTTTGTTGAGCCCGGATTTGCTTCCGGGTTCGTCACGTTGTACGTGCAATCGGTAAGGTTGTATGTATAACCGTTGAAGATAGCATCCGAGCCGATCATGTTCGATGTCAAGGTAGGTGTTATGTAAAGGTATCCGTCGGACGTGTATGAGTTGTTTGATGACGACGTTGTCATCTCAAACTCGCCGTTCCTGGAAGAAGTGTAAGTAAGTGTTTCTGTTCACCCAAAGTACAAAATCGCTGACCCAAATCCGCCTAATGACACTTCACGGAACCAGTTTCCGTTAGGTCCGAAAGTCGTATCGGTGTCGGAAGTAAAATCTTCATCCAACACCATGCACAAGTTACCAGTGATCAATTGTACGCTCTTATAACCAAAGTAACAGCGCACAGCAGATGCTGCTATGCCAAGGAATGCTACCGAGTAAGTCAAGAGATAGGCAATCCTTGCATATGGGTCTTTCGTCGTTACCCAAGGTTTGTCCAAGGTGGTTGGATCTTCAAGCATGGTAGAACGCATCCGGGTTGTCTTGCTTGGAGCTAGGCTCACAGAGGTTGAGACTGCTGTCAAGGGACGAGCTGGTGGTGCTGCGAAGGTTTCACGAAGACGAATACCGGAGGTCACGCGACTGGGGTTATCCCCAGTGTTCGGGCGGGTGCCATAGTACGATGTACTGCGAGGAAGTGCGGTCACGCCAAGACGAGGTACAGGATCTTGACCCTCTTGTTGTCCTGTTGGGGCAATGGGCATCGAGGCGTTGGTTATGGGATCAACGCTAAAGCTGATGATGCTGGCAGGTGGAGAGAAAGGGTTGACGATAGAACTTGCGGCAGTTCCTGCAGTGGATGGACGAGAGAGGTTGGAAACTGAAGGAGTGGAGTGAGATTTGTCCTTGATTCGCTTTGAATTTTCGCTGAGATAGAATGGTGGTGGTGGCTTGACGCCATCCTTATCTGCTGATGTCGACATGATGGAATCAAGATGTAGAGCGCTGGCAAGTCTCACGGACTGTATGGGGAATATTTGTTGAATTTCATTGCAGCTTTAAGGACTGTAAAGCACAGAACAAACTGATGCAAATGATCCCTGAGACTTGCAGACCTGAGATCACAGCCATGACAGAGAGCAGTCTAGATCGGCATATGTGATTATGTTGGACAATCATCACGCGAAAGGCACGCAATTGTTCCCTTGAGCGTCAAAAGTTTGATTGAATCTCGATAGGGAGATTAATCGGTTTTCCCTTAGTTAGCTCAAAGCTCCATCATCATCGGAGATTCGGAGATAATAGAATTGACAGGACATGACAATGGGCTTAATACAACAACTGTGATCCGCTTTGACCAAAATGGCAGCTCTGCTGTGGCGGGGTATCCTCGTTCGTGGATTGCGATATTCCTCCGCACCAGGTTGCTCTCATCGCAGAGCCGCTTCACGCGCTTTGGCAAGGTGTGATGTTAACGTCCATGTCAACGATATGATGCTTAGTGACGTAAATAATGGTGTACCCTGGGAGGGAACAAACAACCTGCAGGGTGATAGAAGCTATGCATTGAGTGCCCTTGATTGAGGGCCTGAGCCTGATAACGATACCAACAAAATATCACACGTGTGGCAACAGAGAAAGGCCGATCCATTTTAGGGAATTATACAGCCCTACTCGACGCCGGTTGTGGCCCTTGCCTTCTTCCTTGCTGATCATGCCATGGCAGTGCGAAGAACCCGGCATGCCGAATTGATGTTGCGTGCGACTTCCAGTAGCACCGATAAACTATTTCGAGCTTCTTCCGCTGAAAAATAGCGAATGGCACAATTACCTTTCTGACCCAGATCTTCCAATGCGGGAGGTGCGGCCCAGATGATAACTTGCCTATTGCACGTTGCTCGCCTTGATTACAAGCAATCTGATATTCGACTTTGCCGCCAGCAAATCAAGGAAGCAAGGTATGATGAGCAAGTGCCAAACCTTGCTTATCGCACAGGAAGTGCAAGGATGATCTATTGATCCAATGAGTTCCTGATGAGCTTCGTCTTCGGCTGCAGTCAAAAGTGAGCGATAACACCAAGTTGGAGAAACCATCAGGGCATTTTGAGTGGAACACGTTCAAGTTCCGGATGATAGGATCATGATCGTCATCATCCCTGCGATGCACGGACAGGCGACAGGCCCATCCAGGGCCAGGAGATTTCGTAAGTTGGAAAATATCACATCGAGTCTTTATTGATTCCTGTTCAGTAGGGTACGAGGATGTCCTAAAATTATGACGAGCTAATCTGAGAGTTGAAACTGGACCGTCATCAGACTGGGACGCACGATGCAACGGAATCCTTTGAACCAATCGGCGCCTCTCTGAGCGTCACTGAGCTTACACCGATTTGCCAAGATCACCCTGGCAGATCATTGCAAGCTTTGACTCGGAAGTACTGTTTAGTACCTCGGTGCCCGAGTGATCTGATACGTAATATCCATGCATGACGAGGTACGGAGGATAACGGTCACTAGTGCTTCCAATCTTCGGCTTGAAGGAGCTCATCAAGCATCACGTCCACGTCAATTTATCTTTTTTTTCCCTACAAACAGTCGCAGGCCGCTGTCACACGTCTCGCCAATTGAGTTTAAAATTCGTTTCCGTGTCGAGGCCTCTTATTACTGGTCGCGGAGCTAAAATTGACTTATGTAATCTAATTGTGAACCACCAACGCAGACTCGGAGCAAAGTCTCACTGTGACTAACGACATAGGTTACATTCTCAGAGGCCCTGTAGGGAACTCGGAATTTGTCAGGGATATGAAGGCAGTGAGTCTAACGCTCAAAGGCTAGACCGTACGTCTTCAAGGGGTGGGCTTTTCCACTGGCAGGTCACCCGTGTATAACTCCCACATCCTTGAAGTCACGAGCTATTCGTTGACCAAAAATAATTTTTCCAGGTACCCGTGCTACAGTTTGTCCTGAGTGGCCTCCGTTGGTGATATCGGATCCTTCTCAAGACCGTTCACTAATTCGAGTTTTTTGCCCTTGCGATTAAGTCTACAGGCATATCCAAAGAAGATACCAGCCCGATGAGGCACGATCGTTCCCATTATTACGGTATATGATATTATGATGCTACATTCAGAGCTTTGGCATATGCTGTTATCATCTTTTGATCATTCGAGCTATCGTTCAATTTACACTGCTTCATGTGGAAGTTCCAAATCCGGTGTCAACCTTTCAGCGCTCTTATATCCCTCTACAAATCTTGAATGAATCTCAAGTTCAAATTCTTCCCATATCCCTCCTCTGAGCTACGAACGGTCTCTATCCCGACGCTACTTGTTATTTCTTCTCCTAGCTCTTACGTCGGGCTTCAACTACTATGGCTATGGACTATGACGCGTATGATGCACTCCTCCACCACATATTTAAGCAAGTACGTGTAAATATTTTGATATCGTCTTCTGCTCATAAGTTCTTTGTGCCAACAGACTCAGGGTGACGCTTGGTTCAAGCCAACCGAGGAGAATCTTTCTGCTGGGGTCTGTCTCCGTGTCGAACCTGGTCACTTCCGTGTCTTTCCCTACGAGAACAACTACCTTGCGCCTTTTGAGGCAGCAGTGCGCATCTTAAATCCTGTCGTTGCGGTCAAGGTGAGGAGTGCTGCAGTTCATGCTGCATTAGCAATTGTGTATGTTGTGTCTCCTCGCTGTCGGTTATCCGGTGACTATCTAACGGTCCGTATTCCGTAATTCTAGCCCCGAAGATGCATCTGCCATCTACGTCGATCATAACACACGCATTCAGATAGTACCTTCCATGGCCATGGTGCCACGAGCTGAGAAGGAACAATGCGGTGCTTTTGTGGCAAGTTCCGCGTCTCACTGCGTCATCATAATTTTCTGATAAAACCCTTAGCGAGACGAGGCTGTCCTCATTCTCTGGTCCGACAACTTGGACAACATCATACCCCTATGTCGCGACTTTGAGGAAAAGCTGATCAAGCTTGTCTGGAGACAACGTACCAATGTCACCGCAACTCCCTCTGAGATCATACCATCTACTCTACCGTCGCATGACAACTTGCCAGCAACAAAGGAAGACTCTCCGGAAGAAATACCTGTTACTGAGAAAGAACTCACAAATCGGAAGCCAAAGCCTAACCCGTCGTCACCATTTTGGAAGATTTTCAGCTGGAGCACTACACGTCAAGAGCACCAAGGTGACGCCGAGAAGGGTGCGAAGAAAATCCGGCGAACCAAGCTCATTGCGCCAATCTACAATGGGTTAGGCTGCGGTTTATCAATTTGTAAACAACTATCGACTTTACATATTACCAAACTTGGACTTACCTCTTTTGATAGTCTTCATCGGTACTGGTGCCAGCATGCTCTTGCAGGAGTCCATGCTTGATGGCCAATGGATTCGGTTCTGTCTGCTCATTACAGCCCCGCTTTCATTCTGCGTTTCTCTGGTATGTCGTAGGCCCCAAGACGTTTCTTGATTGAAACTGACATGTGATCTCAGTTTTTCTCCCTCCAAATTATCGGCAATGTCGGCATGATGTAAGCATTCATTTACGCTCGTCTTGACCTGTGTTCATTCATTTTCGTAGTATCGGTCCCGTCTCCCAGTATTATGAAAACTCTCGTTACTATTCCGCTATCAAACCCGAGGAAGATAAGGATGTCGATTCGGCTCTCCCTCATGTTACCATCGAGCTTCCTGTCTACAAAGAGAGTCTTGAGCAAACAATGTAAGGTCGCAGTCGATTTCTTTTGCCTGTATTCACGGAATTTCTATCTTTCTTAGCGGGCCATCCGTGTACTCACTCAAGAAGGCCATGCAAACATATGCACGCCAGGGTGGAACATCTTCGATATTCGTGCATGATGACGGTCTACAGCTCATTTCGGAGGAGGAACGCGAGGAACGCATTGCTTTCTACGCTGATCACAATATAGGCTGGGTCGCACGCCCTCCCCATGAATCCTCTCCAGATGGATTCAAACGTGCCGGCCGGTTTAAAAAGGCGTCGAATATGAACTACGGGCTCGCGCTTAGCTTGAAACTCGAGAAACATCTGAAAGTACTCCTTGAAGCAGAAGAACGAGGGGAGCTAGAAGACGACGGTCAACCTCTGGAGGATCGCGCTTTGAATATGGCCTGTGACGAAATCTTCATGGAAAGTGGAGAGAAATGGAAACCGTGGGCTTGCAACGGTAAATCTATTAGAATGGGAGAGATCATTTTGCTTGTCGATTCCGATACCATTGTGCCCGAGGTGAGCGACATGTCGCCTCCTTTAATCACGAAACTGACGTTGTTCTAGGATTGTCTCCGTGATGCTGCTCGTGAACTTGCGGAGAGCCCCGAGGTTGCGATCATTCAGCATGAATCAGGTTAGTCAACATTCATGTTCCTGTCTTAGCATAACTCAATTTCGCACACAAGATGTCATGCAAGTCGCCCACCACTACTTTGAGAACGGTATTGCCCACTTCACTCGGCGGATCAACAAGTGTATATCCCTTGGTTGTGCGAACGGCGAAATAGCTCCTTTCGTGGGACACAATGCTTTCCTTCGTTGGTCGGCACTCCAAGACGCCGCGTTTGTAGACCCGGCTGACGGGGAAACGAAGATTTGGTCAGAATCAAATGTGTCCGAGGATTTCGACATGGCTTTGAGACTTCAGGTACGTTCTTGTATTGTTGGACCTGACGTTTATCTGACTGATGTTCCCATGTCTGCAGCTAAAGAAGTACGTCATACGGTGGGCGACATACTCCGAGGGCGACTTCAAGGAAGGTGTATCGTTGACGGTCGATGATGAACTGAATCGGTGGCAAAAATACTCATACGGTATGGATGAACGGTTATGCCAACAATATTTGTGCTGATGGCTAGGATTTGGTAAAGGCTGTAGCGAGTTGATTTTCAACCCCCTTGTTCAATGGTGGAGGAAAGGTCCTATCAACAAACAGCTGCGTGTCTTCGTATGGTCCAATGCACCGGTCCATTACAAAATCAGTATGATGGCATGTGAGTAAGACTCATGAGAAGTCATGGCCAATTATGCTGACTTTTGTTTTCGAAAGATATGTTTTCCTATTGTGAGACAAGAACTTTTGTTGTACTCGTGCCATGCTCACGGATTTGACAGACGGTATCGCAGCCTCGGCAGTTTTGTCGGTCCTCAACTATATCCTTCTTGGACTGGCATTTGAAACGGACGGCTACTATCTTCACAGCTTTGAAGTGTTTCTCGCGATTCTGGCCGTGTTTCCTGGATCGGGCAATGTTGGCTATATTCTTCTTGAATACAGACTTGGGCACCGTAGCATGTGGGCCTCGCTTGTTGAGACCTGCACATGGATCCCTTTCTTGTACGTCTCCGTCGCTTATGTCGGGCCTAGGCTCACACCGTTACTCGTAGCTTTTTTCTTTTTTGGTGGTCTTAGTGTCCACCTCACCACCGCTGTTTTGGCCCATATGTTCTCATACAACATCACCTGGGGAGCAACGAAAAAGGAAGTCGAACGTTCGAATTTCTTCATCGAAGTCCCCCGAATTATCAAGCGATTCTGGCTTGCCCTTCTACTGTCTTTCGCCACGTTTGGTATGATCATTATCTTCAGTCTTTCCAGTATTGTCGGAGTGGATTGGCAAATTCCGGGTTCATACTGGGCAGTCATCCTCCCTCTTGCGTAAGTGGTTTGTCCAGACCGTCCCTCCACATACTCAAATTTCATATAGGCTCGTTGCTGGAAGTCACATTCTTTTCCCTGTGCGTACTCGTCATTAAGACGCCGTTTCCTGGTAACTGACTTCGATTGCAGATCGTTTCTTAATCCGTGGTTGATGATTTTCTCGTATTGAGCGGTGAGAATGCCGCTGATAGCCGTTTTTATTGAGACCCGAATGGACTATTATCAATCTGCTACTTTTCTTGATCATTCACAAGTCCATTGTAGAGTTATCATACGAAGATATCGATGTAATTGCAACATCCAATCATTTATTCGCTGATAATAATCAGTCGTACATAGCCTCTCACACAGTACAAGGTGTACCTAAATATATACTATTTTATACGTGTTTTCTTGTATACTGCTCTAGACTCTGGCTGGCAAGCACGTTTTGACAGTTTTTGACTTGCGAACATGTATTCATGGACGACTTGTTTGGAACACGACTTGCTCATGTTGGAAATATCTTACTAATCGGGCGATCTTCGATCATGAGTGATATTAGTGTGGGCGTCCAAGGGCCCAGCCACGAACTCGTGCAGCGTTTATGACAGCTGGACCGTCGCCCGATAAGTATCCCCGGGCCCGCCTGCAAATCAGAATTAGGCGCGAGGCACGATTTCCTTTTATATTTTTTTGCCTTGTAAAGGTTGCTTTGATTCCGAGTCAAGATTCGCATGTAGTAGTACTTGACGCTGATTCACATGGCATCGATGATCGATCGAGACCCGCGGCCAACTGGACATATGATCGTATAGAGAAACGACTATCTATGGTCTGCCTATAAGCTACATGGGTATGTATCATGATTGATTATGATCTCATCAAACTCTTCCACTGATCTGCCTCCAACTTCCAAGGAGCACGGTACCGTACGTTCGAACCTGGAGTGTGAGGGGACAAAATTAAACAAATAATTGCGCGGTGAAAATGAAAATTCCCGATTTCTCAAAGAGGAAACTTTTCTGACGAGTCACCGCCACTCATTGAAGTTGGAACATTCAACACAAAAACAGAGTAAGTAGGTCTCCATTAACAGTTTCTATGGACTCTGCAATTTCAATGGATGATTGGGACAGACAGACCGCGATGGCTGCCAGTTTCAATACATTTCTCTAGACTGAAGGTCAACCGTGGCACCGTTCATCTAGTCTCAAGAGTCCAGACCAGTCACTGGACGCTCCTCGAGGCGTTGTCTGTCAGAACAATCTCCTACAATCTCCTACAATCTCCCGATGTTCTGTACCATTTCAAACTTCGACATTTGGAGATTGGGAAGTCGGGTGTACTAGTGAGGTGGCATGCTTGAATCTTTCGGTCCGGGTCGACGGTTGCCGAATCGTGGCCGTCTTAACAACTCGACTGTCTGTCGGTGCAGAGTTGTTGTAAAGTCATTACACTCCAAGTCGGGTTTTGATACACGCCGATGTCCGTTAGGCAGGCCAAGACACACCCCTTGAATCTTGATCAACCAAGATTGATGCGCGAGGAACGTTATCAGGTCTAGACCAGTATTGGCTCAGGAACTGACTGTATGTTTTATTCTCACTATACCTGACTGACGTCCATTCTCGCTTAGCTTGCGTGATAAGTTTTCACTTTATCTCGCTCTTTGTTCATCCTTACGTTCCTGGTATCGTAAGTAACCCTGTCTGACTGCCACAGCCACGTTCGTTCCCTTCAGGCTAATCATGATTGTTATGTCAATGATCCCGGCCCCACGTCAAATCTTTCCGTTACCGACAAGGCCTGGCCAAGGGGTAGACTCAGTTCGGCAGAAGCGAATGCATATTCGACGTGGTGTGTGCTCTCAGCCCTGATAACCGGTAAGAATTTCCCTTCTGCCACATCAAATTTCATAAGTGCAGTGTAGGGTCAATGAGGGTCAATGTGAGCGACCCCTTCAGTCCCTCCCACTTATATGCAACGTTCCCTGGTGCCATCTGTTATTCAACAATCCAAACGATATGGATTATGATCCGTACGACGCTCTTCTTCATCACGTCTACCAACAGGTCAGGTGGTTTAACTTGTGTGCTAAACGCGGTCCGTTATTGATATTCCGCATCTGAACAGACTCAAGGGGAGGCGTGGTTCCGGCCTACGGAAGAAAACCATCGCAACAGGTGTCTGTCTCCGAGTGGCTGCAGGACACTACCGCGTTTTTCCGTACAACCAGCTGTTACTAGCTCCCTTTGAGGCCGCAGTCAGACTGCTCAATCCAGTCGTTGCTGTTAAAATCCGCAGTGCCGCCGTGCACGCTGCATTCAGTACAATGTAAAGATCTCTTGTCCTATACAAAACTTTTCCATAATGATGAAATCCACAGAACTGATACAGATGCTTCGATCTATATCGATTCCGACACGAAGATACAGGTGTTCGATTCCATGAACTTCCTACCTCGGGCTGAAAAGGAACAGTGCGCAGCTTTCATTGTTAGTCGACCCCTTTCTTGATTTGTATAATACTAACACATGGTACTACAGCGCGATGAACGCGTCATCGTTATATGGTCAGATAGCTTTGACACTATCATACCTTTGTGTCGCGACTTAGAGGAGAAGCTCATTAAGTTGGTCTGGCGTTTCCGTCATTTGGCGTCGCCTGTATCTACCACCCCACCATCTACCAACTCTGTATCAGTTACCGCTTCTGCCGCTAATTTGGTAGAAAAGGACAGGGTCCTCACAGAGGCCATCCCTGTCACAGAGAAAGAGCGAAACAATGCACGTTCGAAGGCACCACCCAAGAAATCGAGGTGGGCCTGGAGTTGGCGCGCATCACCGGAGAACAGAAGCATGTATGCCGACGAATATGACTTAGAGAAGGAAGGTTCTCCTGGAAGTCAAGGGCCTCGGCCCCTTCGTCTCTACGCCCCATTTTACTGTGGCCTTGCGACGGCATTGTCGATATGTAAGACACGTATTTATTATCTGCTCCCGCATCGTCTAATCTGTCCAAGTTTTTATTGGCAGTGGACTCAGTGTCCTTTTGGCCGAATGGCTTCTCGATGACAATTATACACGTTTCATCCTGCTCGTCACATCACCCTTCCTCTTTTGCATATCACTGGTGAGAGACTGATGACATTTCCTCCGGATCCTTAATTTGATCACTAGCTGTAGTTCTTCTGTTTGCAGCTTGTGGGCAACTTGTCCTTGGTGTATGTCATTTCATCATTGACGCGTGGATCCATGTAATCATGTATTGACAAATTAATCATCTTAGGCTTGGTCCGGTTGCCCAGTACCATGAGAATTCAAGATATTACTCCGCAGTTCCCCCATCACCGAACAAGGCAGTCGATGCCGCGCTACCCCACATTACCGTCGAACTTCCGGTGTTTAAGGAGAGTCTAGAACATACAATGTCAGATCCCTCTTTCGGTGGCAGTAGAATTGAATGTGCTGACGTGTTCCATCAGTGCACCGTCGGTCTTCTCGATCAAGAAGGCAATGCAGACATACGCCAGGCAGGGTGGCACGTCTGCTATTTTCGTGCATGACGACGGGTTGCAGCTCATTAGTACCAAGGAGCAGGAAGAACGCATTGCATTCTATGCGAATCACAACATCGGGTGGGTCGCGCGCCCGAAGCATGATAGCGCACCAGGCGGCTTCAAGCGCGCTGGCCGGTTCAAAAAGGCATCGAACATGAACTACGGGCTCGCGTTAAGCTTGAAGCTTGAGAAGCATTTGAAGGTGCTCGAAGACGCGGAGCAGAGGGGGGAACTGGATGACAGCAAATATGAGTGTCTTGAAGATATGGCGTTGGAATTGGCCACGGAGGAGGTGTACAATGAGAGTGGTGGGAAGTGGCGGCCCTGGGCAAACAATGGGAAGTCTTTACGCATTGGGGAAATTATCTTGATTGTCGATGCAGACACGATCGTGCCCGAGGTAACAGACCATCTCTGTCTGACAAAGTGACAGATGCTTATTTTCTATTTATTTTGCAGGATTGTTTCCGTGATGCCGCACGAGAGCTTGCAGAAAGCCCCGACGTCGGTATTATCCAGCACGAATCGGGTATGTCTCACTCATCACAGCGACTGCGAGATGCCTGACACGCTCTTCACCAGACGTAATGCAAGTCGCGCACCACTACTTTGAGAACGGAATTGCGCACTTCACACGGCGGATTAACAAGTGCATTTCTATCGGGTGCGCGAACGGGGAAGTGGCTCCCTTCGTGGGACACAACGCCTTTCTTCGGTGGTCGGCTCTCCAGGATGCGGCGTTCATCGATCCTGCAGATGGAAAGAAGAAGATATGGTCTGAGTCGAATGTCTCCGAAGACTTTGACATGGCTTTGCGGTTGCAGCTGAAGCATTACAGTATCCGATGGGCGTCGTACTCCAAGGGTGGATTCAAGGAAGGCGTGTCCCTCACTGTCGACGATGAGTTGAATCGGTGGCAGAAGTACTCATATGGTAAGCCATTCTCGCTATCCAAAGGATCTCAAACTAAGATAAGTAGGATGCAATGAGCTTATATTCAATCCGCTCATCCATTGGTGGAAGATGGGACCGATTGCTAAGCAGCTCCGCATTTTTGTGTGGTCTGGAGCTCCGGTGCACTATAAGCTTACTATGATGGCTTGTAAGTGCTTCTCATCGCGTATAAAATGCACCCATTGAAATTTATGCAGACATGTTCTCGTACTGTATGATGATTTCTTCTATTTTACGTTCGGTGAACACTGACAGCACTATGATATGGAAGACGGCATTGCAGCGGCGGCGATTCTCTCTTTGGTCAACTACCTTTTGCTAGGGCTTTCAAATTGAAGTCGACGGGTTCTTCTTAGCACAGCTTTGAAGTTTGGCTAGGCGTGTACTGTTCGTCTTCCCCGGGGTCGGCAATCTCGGATTTTCACTTCTCGAGTACCGTCTGGGTCACCGCAATCTTCTGGCTTCGGCAATCGAGAACGTGACCTGGATACCTTTCTTGTGAGTGCCAAACCTCTCTACGTCGACAAACAAATACTCAGAAGTACATCATCGTACCTGATATAGTTTCTTCTTCTTTGGGGGGTTAAGCATTCATCTTTCTCAAGCATTGCTCTCCCATTTATTTTCTTACAACATCACGTGGGGCGCTACGAAGAAGGAGGTCGAACGATCAAATTTCTTCATTGAAGTTCCGAAGATCCTAAAGCGCTTTCGCGTTGCACTGATATTATGCACGATTACCGTGGCGGGGATGGTCATACTCAGCACGTCACTGGTGCCCGTTGGGTGGCAGGTGGAATCGACTGACTGGGCAGTTATCCTGCCGCTTGCGTAAGTTGCGTGTTTGCGCTGCAACAAACTGAAGCTTATGATTACCTGACCGTGCAGCATCGTTGTCGGAAGCCACATTCTCTTTCCTGTACGTCACGCTTGCTCAAGTCTTAACCTCGCTTCCTCACTGACGGGAATTTGACTCATATAGATTGTCCTTAACCCCTGGTTGATGATATTCTCGTACTAGATCAGTATCTTGAACTGCACAAATGTTTTGCACGCGTTGTGATCTTTTTTTAACTTTGGGATACGTATGCACTCATTATCATCTTTCTACATGGACTAATGGAATTATCCTCATATTGGGCGTATATGGAGGTCTATTACAAGAGAATACGAAGCTAGATCTAATCCCATTCCTGTCGCCGGTACCTTGTACATAAACACTGTACAGCGGATAAATGGACCACATTTCATGATTCGAGATGCTCGGGAGCGGTTCTGTTACGCGACCAAGAAAGGCGAAGCCGCAGAATCGGACGGGGAACTATATCTTCAGAGTGCATCCCATTGCCTGTAACTTGTGTCCACGGGTGGTCACACTAGGTTCTTCCAACATCATCCTACCCAGGCGCGACCAATCTGCCAAACCAATAGAACTTCCAAGTTTTGCCCACAATCATATTTTCAGGATATAAAAGCAAACCCGTCCACCTCAGAGTAATTCAGAGTCCCTTTTGCAAACCTTTTATCACTTCGCATAAACCATGAATTTCTCCTTTCTTGTCATTACTGTTTTGCCAGCATGTATGTCTGTCACTGCATGCAGTGCCCAATTCAAGACCTGAAAAACGGACGGTGATTGCTGCGGTGACTTGCGCTGTAAACTGATGTCAGTGAGTATGAGTAGTTTGCTTTGCATCCACGATTCAACCCCGTTGCTCACCCCTTGCACCTTGCAATGCCAATAGCCTAGCGGTCACAAAGCATGCAACAATTGGACTGCTTACCGATGGGCTGGCAGCCTGTCTATGAACACACCTGGACAGTGAGTGTGTTTCTGCTTTCGCATTGGTGCTGTGGCTGATGGCACAATACGCAGTCGTTGCTGACTTGGTCAATATGGTTGGTCCTGGAGTCTGGACAATCTACCCTGCTTCATGGGCAATGGAGGCGCCTTTGAATATTCAATATCGACTAACTTGAAGGGACGTGAGGAGTGATTTCAATGTCGAGATTTGTACTGCGTCATCCAGAGGTTGCGGGTTGACCGGTAACTGGTCGTATTTTGGTGATCGATATCAGTATCACATAGCGCATGATACAGAGTACGTACTAATCTTCAAACTGCCTTGTTGGCGTCCAGTCATTTAACTCACCCACGTCGAGGCCTCAGGTCGCTCCAACTATTATTGATTTTAACTAGAATACCCACGGAGATCGACGTGCACCTTCGTTTGCTATATATACCTGTTGTCCTCGAGCTCCTTTTTGAGTGTATTCCAATTGGCCTAAGTTAGTACTCAACGCCTCGTATCTCAATCCTAACTGCGAGGCAATGGGGCAGGAGTACTGTAAAGTCCGGCCCGACATTGGGCCGGCATTGCCTACCATGACTGACACGTGGCCTTCAAGTGCAAGAGCGTCCTGAGGCCAACTTTAAACAAGCGTTCAAGACTTCAGACCGTCCTACTTATGTAATTCAAATCCATTCACACACAGAAGGAACGACTATATCCTTCTATATGGTCTGACTACGGGAGGCTACACTCTTGACTCAAGTCCCAAAAAATACGACCATCATAACCCAGTGATAACTAAGCCACTGCATGGGCCGAATGATTAATGATTCGTCCTGTATCCTGGCAACCCTACTCCGTGAATCAGTGCATGGCTGTCATCATCTGATCTCGGTGAAGCGCTCCCGGAGGACCGCTCGTGACCTAGTTTTGCAGGAGTGAGTACTATATTACATTTGTGTCGTTATGTCATGATAAGAAAATGACTGTCGAATCATTATAGCTACAATCAGGACGCAGGAGTCATCAAAATACGTCGGTAACACTCCTGGCAGGGGACTCGGATGTTTTAGCCCGCTGTGTGTAAGTTCCCAAGAGCTGGAGCCGACCTACCGCCTACAGAATGATGAATCTTTGTTGTAAAGCCCTATGACATACCCAACGCTTCATATAGATCTGATTTTTCTCTTTGCTGCCCGAGTTGTATCATCAGCGCCCAATTCACGCAATCATTAGCTTGTAAAAAGATCAGGAATAGGCAACTTCTGGCGATGCACGCGCGGCTACTGAGGAATGCGCATCATGCTTTAAGTGTCATCTAGTCCATACGAGAGACATTAATAAAGCTGCCTTCACATGCTTTTTGAAATCGTATTTCTTGTGACCATGGATCCTGTCTTTATCGCTGCTGGTTTTGTGGCTCTAGCGATTGTCTATGGGGTGTACCGTCGATACTCTCATATCTCTTTGGCAGACGTTCCTGGCCCAGAGTCTGCATCGTTTATCATGGGTATGTCTATTATCTCTTGCTGTATCACTCCGCTGCTGATATGACCACCAGGGAATCTAAAAGAACTCTACCAAGGTCAGGCAGCGGAGGCTGACTTCAAGTGGCAAGCTCAGTTTGGGAATATCGTTCGCTTCAAGGGCTCTTTTGGCGTAAGTAATAAAATCCACATTTGCGGCATACATTTCCTGATCCTCCGCCGACTCATAGGAAGACCAATTGATGATTTCTGACCCGGCCGCCCTGCAATACATATTTGCAAAGTCAGGCTACCGGTTTCCCAAACCACCTGATCGCCGCGTCCTCTCCCAGATGGTCAACGGAAAGGGAATCGCCTGGGCGGAGGGTAAGTCTTTAGCTACCAAATTAAAATTAAAACATGGAATGATCTGTGGTTAACTTTTGAAGGCGACGATCACAAACGACACAGAAGAATAATGCTCCCTGGATTTGGTGGACCGGAGTCCAAAGCCTTCTTATTATTATTCAAGAACTGCGCCGAGTCTGTAGGCATCGAAGTCACTCAATACTCTCAATGCCCGTCAATAACTTGAATTCTCACAGATGAGCAACAAATGGATGGAGATCATCAGTAAATCTAAGGAGGGGTCAGTAGTGTTCGATATTCCTGCTTGGCTGTCCCGCGCAACCTTCGATGCTATCGGCGAAGGTACATGCTATCTAGGGTACACAAGCACCTTTTTCTCATGTCATTTTCAGCTGCTTTTGATGTCCGCTTCAGCTCCATTGATAATGATGAAAGCGCTCTTGCGCGCTCATACAGGAGTGTAATGTCAGTCTTGACTATTGCAAAGCATCTGGCTTTCCCGTAACTGATCTGAATTGAATGCAACTTCGTTGCAATAGGGCTGACGTATTTGGATCCCCGTCAGATGGGCAGGTACTCTTTCAGGGGATTTCAAAGTATATCCCACCTCGGATTCTCCAATGCATCGTAGAGATGGGAAAAAACCCACGTATCGCGCGCATGCGTGAGACAGGTAACTTGGCAACATCTGTTGCAAAGCAATTGGTGAAAGAGAAGGCAGAGATGCTATTGGAGGGCAAGGGCAGCCGAGATGTCTTTAGCTTACTTGGTGGGTTGTCGTTTTCAACAGCCTCATTCAGATCTAGGCCATCTGATTATAGCACAGTCAAAGCCAATATGGATACAGATGCAAAGGCGAAGTTAACGGAAGAAGAACTGTTTGCTCAGATGCGGTGGGTCCGTTCCGTTTGTCGTAATTGTACAGCTTTCCGATCACAGATTGTTATAATCACACAGTACCATCCTCTTCGCAGGTCATGAGACGACCTCGAACACTGTCAGTTGGGCGCTTCTCGAACTAGCCAGACGCCCTGAGATCCAATCCCGCCTCCGGGCAGAAATAAGGGAAACAGAAGCCGCTGTGCACGCACGCGGCGATGTCAACTTCACAATCGCTGATTTTGACGCTATGCCATATACTGATGCTGTGGTGAAAGTGCGTGACGTTGTGCGAGCAATACTTGGGCTGTCATAACATTGCGCTTGTCATTGTAGGAAGTTCTGAGATTTTGTTGTGTCGTATATCATGCACACCGATACGCCAGCCAAGATGACGTCCTTCCGTTGTCACAGCCAATCACCACGCGATCCGGGAACGTCATCCGTGAGCTACCAGTTCCGAAGGGTACCCAAATTGTTGCATCAATTGCAGCGTATAACCGGTAGGTAGTTCCGCATAGCGTCAACATACTTTGTTCTGACGGTGCGCTCATATCGGTTAGAAACAAGGAGCTCTGGGGCGAGGATGCGCACGTGTTCAATCCGGATAGGTGGCTTAATGGCACGGTGAAAGAGAAGAAGGTGGCGTCAATAGGAGTGTACTCCAATTTGTAAGCATTGGTCTCTATCTTGCAACACGCATGAACCCAATTTGTTTCTAGAATGACATTCCTCGGAGGAGTGAGGTCATGTATCGGATGGCGCTTCGCGTGAGTGTTAACGGGTTGTCCGGCAACGGTAGAGTAAATCTAATATGAACGTTTACTCAGGGTGATCGAAATCCAGGCATTTCTTACGGAGATAGTTGGAAAGTTTGAGTTCGCCCCAACTGATAAAACCGAACTTATTCGGCGGGAGGCTTGCGTTGTGATGGCTCCAACAGTAGAAGGTGAAGTTGGAAATGGTGTTCAGCTGCCGTTGAGGGTTTCACTGGCGCCACACAATGGTAAAGGATGTTAAACGTCATCCGCCCCGTGATGCAAATAGTTATTTTGTCTGGTTGTCTCGGTGGCCCGACAACCACCAGTATTCGAAGATTAAAGTCATGCGCCATTGGCCAAGTTGGGCAGTGTCTGGCTCCTCTTAGCTCCTCGAGTTGCGAGTGTGCGGGACTCCGCTGATCGACGTTATCAGATATGTCAGTGGAGCTGGCCGAACGTTAGCTGCGGACGTACTTACACTAAACGTTTTTTATCACCAAAGATTCATCCTCTCTTTTCCTACGTTTTTCTCATTTTTAAGAACAACGAGTAAACCGGTGAGACTACTTTATATTACTTTATATTGTTTTATAACGTCATGTAGAGGAAACAGGTACAAAACCTGGGAATATCTGAGTCTCACCGGTTTACTGATCCGTGGTCGTGTCGATTGTATACATGCCATAGAGATGGCGGGTAACAAGAGAACTGATGGCAGAACTAATGGCGGGGTAGGATAATCAGCGGATGATATAATACGGCGGGCACTGCGGCAGACAGACCTCCAACGGGCGGCTGCTGCGCACTGGCCGGAAACTCCCGAACACAGACGTCTGCGTCAAGTCTGCCAGACAGCTTACATGCACACCAATTGACTCTCTGAGCCGGTCATGGTAAGTTGTCAAAGGCCAGTCCTGGTATACGTGACCAGAATCTTGAGTTCCCAGACACCACGACTTCTCGACGGACTTTCTGCTAATTTGGGAGAGCTGAGGGAACCTAACGTTAAATTACGTACATCCTTACAAACGTCATACTTAAGCACAGCTTATTTAAATTTCCTCGATCACTAAGCACTTTCAACATCAAACAATTAGTAACTAGGTAGTAGACGCTCACAAGTCATCTCTCCCCAGAATCTATTCCGTTACCACCCACTTCTGCTTGAATTCTATCTACGCATATCTGGTCTTCGAAGTTGCCCTCACAAATTGACGATATCACGCTTGTTAGTGCTTGTTGGCTCGTCGTTATTGCCGTCGTGTGCTGCCTGAAACATTTAAACAATGGCTTTCTGGTGTGTTCCCTGTCTCTCGCCTTCTAAACCATTGCCTCATGTCTATATATTCATGCAATCAGGATTGACGTGTTCTCCTTTCTAACCGTGAGCATAAGGCCGGCGTTTCTCACCCTCTAATCGTCACTCCTAAACTCGGCTGAGCCTGCAGATAACGTCCCTTTTTGTTGGGACCATCCTCGGCATCGTCTTCCTTGCGAAACGCTTCTCAGCGGCCGCTCAGAATACGAAGGAATCGTATGTTGAATTGTGTGCTCACCGAGTCTAAACACTCAACTGGGTTTTTGTAGTCTTCAGAACAAAGGCATTTCTATATCGGACAAGGGTATGTCGATTAAGATGTCGAAGAGGTTTGACAGGGAAGATTACATGGATGCGACACAACGGTCAGCACCAATGATTACGCTGTTATTTTCGTCTCTTGCTCACGTGAACATCTTTGACCGGTTACTTTGCCTCTCGACTGCGTCCCTTGTCTATTCGTCCCATTTCATCGACTCTACAGCGGTGTGATCAAAGTTTTAGACGCATCCAACGTCCACCCCGCCGGCGTGGATGACCCTTACCACATCAAATCTAAATCAAGCAGCGACCTGTTATCGGCAGATCATGATGGGACCACTCACAGCGCAAAGATATTTGGGATCCGGCGAGCGCACAGCGGGGCGAGTAAGTGAGAACTAAGAGCAGACCTCTGGGTAGAGGTATAACCCTCCGTGGAATTCATCCTGTGCACTCGTGCCCAAATTATTCCCAGGGAGCTATTGGGAAGGTAGGTACTATTTTATCAACTTGTAATTGCGTGCGGATAGCCTGGATAGTATTAAATAAGTGTATCTCGAACTTCGTTTTAACTATAATATCTGTCTCTCAGCCATATGTTTCTCGAGATATTCGTTTTGCACAAGCATGGTCAGTCTATTTTTAGTCTCCTATTCATCGTGTCCGGCCAGTAATGTAGGTGGCGTCCTTGCCCGCGAAGGGCGATACCAGATTCGCGATATCCTCTGCCGTTGCAATCCGCCGCAACGGGATGCATGCTTGCTAGTGCAGTACAGGTCAACTGATTGGGAGGTAAAAGTGAAATACTGAAACATACATGTTGGATGAAAGTCTTGCCATCAGGAATCCCCAGCTGTTGTGCCATTTCTTAAACACCAGAGCATACGATGTGTTGTGAGTGACAAGCGGCCAGGCATATCGACTGATCCAGGAGCGTACGCGTTTACAGTGATGCGGTGTGATCCAAGCTCACTCTCACTCGCTGAATGTATAACAGTGCGAGTGCCTGTGTAAACGATGGAAAGGCAGCTTTCGATGCACTGCCAGAGCTGGTTAATGTCGACCATTTGCTCCCTGTCACCGATGAAGCGGCTATAACAACAACAGATATAATCATCAAAGTGCGAGATAGTAAAAGGTGTGCATACCGATAATCCTTCCGCCACGCCTACGTTCGATCATGGCCTGCGTTGCAGCGCGCAAGTAGAGGAACGTCCCGCGCCCATCGGTGTTGAGGATCCTGTCGAAATCGGCGGCGAGGGTGGCTATTTGTGTTTGTAATCAAAGTTACAACATCGAAGCCGGTGACTGAAGAGGGGTCCAGCTCATAACCAACAATGGACTTCATGAGGATTCGTGCAGCAAATATGTGCTACCATCTAACCCATCCGTCGAACTATCTGATATGGTTGCAGCTGGTGAGAAACTAACAAACGGCCAAGCCATCAGACTCTTACTTCGTAGCCCAGTAGGCACCAAGTAATCCGTCTTGTGTGAAAAGCGAACTCCTGCTTTCCGTAGTTTTGATATTATAGACGGGCAATCCTGCCACCTCATGTTAGAGAGCGAGAACTAAGGTAACGCGAGTCTCAGTCAATGGAAGAAAGACTTGTTCATGTATGCTAACCTAAGGTAACGCGAGTCTGTAGGGCGCTAGTAAGTATCATGTATAGTATAATGTGAATGGTATACGCACCTCAGTCAATGGAAGAAAGACTGAGGTGCGGGTGTAGCGTCTAGCCATCCTTAAGTAGCAAAGAGAAAAATGGTCAGTAACTAGGGTGGATGACAGTCAGTAACAGTGGCAGCTAAGGTACATAGAACTGGAACCGTTAGATATATCTATCTGGAACCGGCTCAGTGCTCTGACGGATCACCTCTCAACACTCCCACTCGTCAGAGCGCCTGGCAGGTCTTGACGACGTAGTCCCATGTTTTCCCGATGCTGGACCCCAGCTGGGCGAGGGTAACGCCTTCGTTAGACTATCAGCAATCATCTCTGAGGTGGATTTGTACTGGAGTTCGATCTTGTTTGTGTCGACGAGGTCACGGATGAGATGGTAGTGGACGCGAATGTGCTTGGCTCTTTCGTGGAACCTTGGATTCTTCGAGAGTGCAATACTGGACTGGTTGTCTCCATATAGGAGTGCGGGGTCGTAGAGTTCAGGGTCGAGGCGGAAGTCATGTAGAAGCTGGATCAGATATAAGGCCTCGCGTGAAGCGTTCGATAGACCGATATATTCGGCTTCCGTGGTCGAGGTAGCGACCACAGATTGCTTCTGCGACTTCCAACTAATGGGCCCTCCGAAGAGTTGATAAACATAAGCGCTGGTGGACTTGCTATCGTCCCGATCTGCAGCATAGTCCGAATCCGAGTGCCCAACGAGTCCCTCGTTTGACGAGCCGAAGATAAGTACTAAATCCGTAGTTCCACGAATGTACCGGAGAAGATGTTTGAGTTGACGATGATGGTCGATACTGGGATTCTCCATGTATCGGGAGAGGCATGAAACTGGGTAAGCGATGTCGGGGCGAGTGGTTCGCATAGCGTAGTTGAGTTCCCCGATAGTTCGGCGATATGGGATTGACGCAATGGCGTCCGCTTCTTCACTCGTTGGGGGGCGAGTGGCCTTCTGCAAGGTTACTCCAGGTGTCATAGGCGTACTGACGGGATTGCACAGTGTCATGCCGGCGTTCTTGAGAATCTTCTCAAGGTAAGCCTTCTGGCTAATGGTGAGGAGCCTCTTCTCTCGGTCGCGCGTAATGTGCATGCCAAGGAAGTGGCGAGTGGGACCGAGATCTGATAAGTCGAAGCGTCGCTTTAGCTCTGTCTTGAACTTGTCCAGGTAATCGCGAGAGTTCGACGCTGCGAGCATGTCGTCGACGTAGACGACTAGCCATATGACTTTGTCCCCCTCGTGGAGGACATATAGACTGTGGTCAGCTTCGCTCCTTACGAATCTGAACCCCTCTATCCGCAAGTACTCATCCAGCGTCTGGTTCCACTCATACCCTGCCTGCTTCAACCCATAAAGCGCTTTCTCCAGCTTCCACACCCAGTCCGGATGTTCAGGGTCTTCAAAACCAGCCGGTTGCTTGAGGTAGATGTCCTCCTTGAGGTCAGCGTTGAGGAAGGCAGTATGTATGTCCATCTGGTCTAGTTCAAGGTCGAATTTCGCCGCGAGGGCGAGGAGAATACGAACCGTGTCGTACTTGGCGACAGCCGCGAACGTTTCTGTATAGTCGATCCCCTCGACTTGCGTGTATCCCTGCGCAACGAGGCGTGCCTTGTGACGTGTGATGTTGCCTTCTTCGTCAGTTTTTACCGTGAATACCCATCTCGAACCAATCGCTTTGCGTCCTTCTGGGAGTGGCGTGAGTTTGTGAGTTTTGAGGTCCTGCATTGACTGCAGCTCAGATTTGCAGGCGTCTGACCATTGAGGCCACTCAGGTAATGACCGAGCTTTGTTGATGGTTTCGGGTATGATTATGTTTGAGCGTTTGGGAGGTTCGGTAGCTGTGTGCATTGCGGATTCGGTACTGTCGTTGTCGTGCTGACTGGTCGAGGACTCTGGTACATATGTCCAGCGTTCGGCAACGGGAACTCGTCGCGTTGGTATGGCCGTTGCGCTGGTCCCAGAGGGTGCGATATGACCTGCTTGTACCGGTTGGCGTGAACGAGTGCTGCGACGCGGAACATCTGAAGGAGGTGCAGGAGGAGGAGGTACTGGAGGTTGCTGTGGGGGGATAAGCAGTGTTGCCTGTTCGGTTGGGCCAGGGATTGTTGGCGGATCGTTATGGTCAGGTGGGTTGTCACGTTCTCCCACTGACACCTGTGGTACGCAGTCAGCAGGGGTCAATAGCGGTGGCTCACCAGCCTGTGCTCCCACTGGCTGAGTGACACCTCCCACCGATGAAGTGGCACCAGGGAGATCCGCCGAGTCAAGAAGGAGAGGAGCGAGGGGTGAGGAAGCAGGATCCCCGTAGAATACGTGTTCATCGAAGTGGACGTGACGGGAACGCACGACGCGTTTGGTAGAGGGATCCCAGAGAGTGTAGCCTGCATTCCGCACATGGCCGAGTAGGAAGCAGCGACGAGAGACAAAGTCGTACTTGCGACGAGTGTCCTCTGGTATGTGCGCATAGGCAAGGCAACCGAATGGACGAAGGTAGCCAACATCCGGCTTGCGACCATAGAACGCCTCAAAGGGTGTGCGACCAGCGAGAGATGAGGAAGGGAGCATGTTCTTGATGTGGGCTGAGTTAAGAATCGCCCAGCCCCAGAACGAACGCGGGAAACCGCTCAGGTGGTGCGAACTGAGTGCACGGGTGACGATGGTTTGGTGCCCGCGTTCCGCGACGCCATTCTGTTGGGGAGTGTAGGGCATGGTGGTCTCATGCTCAATGCCATGTTCCCCAAGGTAGGCCAGAAACTCCCTCGACATGTACTCGCCTCCGTTGTCACTGCGAAGCCGTTTGACGCGCCCCCCAGATTGTGTTTCTATCCAGGGGATAAAATTCCGGAAACGATCAAAGACCTCGGATTTGGCACGCATCAAGTAAACTACGGAGTACCTTGTGTAGTCATCAGTGAACACCACAAAGTAGTGATCACCGGTAGAGGAGGTGATGTTGACCGGTCCCCAAACGTCAGAGTGAATGAGGTCAGCTGTCGCTTTAGCGCGGCGTGCGATGGTAGGAAAGGGAAGCCGTTTATGTTTTCCCATAACGCAGGACACGCAATGTATCGTGTCGGCGCCGCCGACGTCATGATGCAGGGTGGTCTCATCGATGTTCATCCCGCTGACATGTCCCGTGGCCTTCATAATGGTCGAAAAACCAGCATGCCCAAGGCGACGATGCCACGTATTAAGAGATGGAGGCATGGACTTTGTGAGCATTGCGCGTGCAGGGGTGGAATCAACCGTATGGTACGTTGCATCCAGCAGATACAATCCGTCTTTCTGGTGCACGTGGGCGATGTATGGCCCATTGCCGTTGTTAGAGCGCAGCGTTCCTCCTTCAGAAGTAGTCGCGAAGGATATACGAGCAGAGGCGAGGGTGGATACCGAAATGAGCGTACAGCGCAAATCGGGGACATGCAGGAACTCGAGCTCGTGTTCCGTCAACGAATCACCAAACCGCAGTACAAGTTTCACTTTACCCCATCCTGGAGCTAACACCACATGCTCATCAGCTAAGGTCACACGGATAGGTTCACGCAGTTTCGTATAGTGAGAAAAGCGTGATATTTCAGGCTCCATGTGAGCCGTCGAGGCAGAGTCTACGTGGAAGGACCCAGCTGGTAAAGCAAGGGCTGATGAGATACTGGCTGAGTGATCCTTCAGCGTAAGGATGAATGGAGGTGGTATGGTAGACTCGTCAGTTGGGTCTGGCAGGGAGGGCACCGGGTTAGCGGCGGTTGTGGCAGGGGAGGAAGGACGAGGTGCTGACTTTGGAGTTTTGTCGTCCTTAGAGAGCCGTGCGCGACACTGTACCCAGACATGGCCGGCCTTTTGACAATGGCCGCACTTAGGTCGCCATCCTACTATCCACCCATCTCCTTTTGTCTCATCAAAACCTTTCGGCGGGACACGATCGCTGGTCTTGGGGTTGGAGGAGTTTCCTCCTCGATGTCCAGACAGCATGGCCACATGGTCACTGCCACTGGTTCCAGCGCGGTGTAATTCCTGAGTCTTCAGGCGGTTGACGACATCGCTGAAGTCCAGCGAAGTATCGCTGTTGACGAGGGTTTGACGAAGGGGGTCGTAGTAGTCAGGTAGGGTGCGCAACAGGACGTGCACGAAGATCACGTCCGGGATCTTGTACTCGTCCTTTGCCGCAGTTGTAACGACACTGGAAGTGGAGGGTGCGACTGCTGTGGTGACAGAGAGAGCTGCAAGGTCGGATTTTAGCACGGTGAGGGTTTGCATAGTTTGGGCGATGGAGGAACTATCATGCGCCTTGGGAATGGTGAACAGGCGGTCCAGGTATTGATTGAATCGAATAGCCTTTTGGGGAAGGTACTTCTTTTCTAGAGCAATCCACGCCATGTGCGGGTCATCTATATCGCAGAGGTGGACGAAGTCCTGCGCATCAATCGCCGTGGACATAGCGCTGAGGGCGAGAAGTCGGCGTTGTTTATAGACTTGTACTCGTTCAGCGTGTTTCTCTGCGCGAATGATGTTTTGATCCACGTCCGTGAGTGTGGCTGGGGGGGATGGCTCCTTCTCGTCGCCGTTGACATATGGCCATAGCCCAATGCCGCCGGACCACATTTTAAAGCCAGTGGCCCATTGAGAATAGTTGGATCCGTCGAGGGTGAGCTTCTCATGCGGATATCGTTCAGTTTTGGGAAGGGAGTCCGAAGACGACATGGTAACGTCAGAGCCGAGTATTATCGGCGGGAATGAGAGATTTTGAGGAGAAGATGGCGCTACCCTTTAGGCAGGGCTCATAACCTGTTAGAGAGCGAGAACTAAGGTAACGCGAGTCTCAGTCAATGGAAGAAAGACTTGTTCATGTATGCTAACCTAAGGTAACGCGAGTCTGTAGGGCGCTAGTAAGTATCATGTATAGTATAATGTGAATGGTATACGCACCTCAGTCAATGGAAGAAAGACTGAGGTGCGGGTGTAGCGTCTAGCCATCCTTAAGTAGCAAAGAGAAAAATGGTCAGTAACTAGGGTGGATGACAGTCAGTAACAGTGGCAGCTAAGGTACATAGAACTGGAACCGTTAGATATATCTATCTGGAACCGGCTCAGTGCTCTGACGGATCACCTCTCAACACCTCATCATCGAATTAGTATTATCCGCCGAGTACGAATATGCACCGGGAAAGGAATCTTTCCCTGCCTTCTTCACGGGCTCTTTTCGATCATCTTGGTTTCACCCAAAACACCAAGTCAGCCTGATGAGAAGGTCATATGGACCAAAATGTATCAACACGCATCTTAACGAAAAGGCAAGTGAAGATTTCGTTGTACAAAGAGTCAGGATATACTTACACGATTGGTTTGAACTTTGGAGACAAGTTACATTATTTAGTATGATTCTCGGCCATAGGCACGAGATTAGTCCATCCAGCCTCCCCCATCAATTGTGATCGTCTGGCCAGTGATGAAGCCAGATTCGTTGCCCGCGAGGAACGATACCATGTTCGCAACGTCTTCCGGCGTTCCAACATGCTTCAGTGCCGAATTCGCTGCTTGGAACTGCAAGGCGATTCAATTGATTAGGAGGCGGGGACCTCGCTGAGAGATGGAATCTAATACATACACCTTGGATCATTGCCTTGCCATCAGGAATCCCTAGCAGTTGCTCCAATGCATCTGCGGAGACTTGCACTGTATGTGTACATGTCAGGATCAGGGTACATATATAAAAGAAAGAGAAAATGTGTGATGGACGGGAGGCAGTAGGGTAGTGGAGGAGACATGAACATACAGAGAGGAGTATCGATTGGTCCAGGCGCGTAGGCGTTCACAGTGATGCCGTGCGACCCGATTTCACTCGCTAGAACGCAAGAATAGTAAGACAAGATGAAGCATTATGACCTCTGGAATACATACCGAGTGCCTGTGTGAACGATCGAACGGCAGCTTTTGAGGCACAGTAAATGCCGTTTAATGGCGTCCCTTTCTTCCCTGATACCGACGATGCACCTATGATAAAGGGTATTATTATCCAGATGCGAGACAACAAATGGAGGTGCATACTGATGATCTTCCCGCCACGCCCTCGCTTGATCATGACCTGCGCTGCAGCACGCAAGCACAGGAATACCCCGCGCACATTAGTGTCGAATACATTGTCTAAATCGGTGAGAGTAGCTATGGAGTTTGATGTTACCATCAAAAGCTAAATATCATAGGGATCAAAGACGGCGTGGGCTCACAATCAATCATAGTCTTCACGAGGAGTCGTCCAGCGTTCGCTACCATCTACCCAGCTGTCAGGCGACGTCGCAGTTTTCAGCAGAGGAGACACCCACAACGTCCAAACCATCAAATTCTTTCTCCGTAGCCTGCACCATGCGTTGGACCTCCTCCTCCTGTGACACATCACATTCCAAGACAATGCACCGCCTCCCCTTCGACCTCACCTCCTCTGCGACGCCGTCGAGCTTCGTGCGTTGTGATGCTAAGTCTGCGATGGCAATGTCCAGTCCGTCGTCTGCGAGCCGCAGGGCAATAGCGCGCCCAATGCCCTGGGCTGCGCCGGTGATAAGTGCGACGCGGGGTCGGATGGTCAGTATTGAAGAAGCGAGATCAGACATGGTGTAGAGACTTTGGGACAGACGTCCTGATCCTTATATGATAGAGATGGGTGAGACTCGGAAATAATATAATGCAAGCTCAGTGGGTACCTGAGGAATTACACCGGCGCCCTAATGAATCGCCCTGAATTCAGTTAGATCCTTCCTGAATGAGATCATCAACTATCGTGAGGCAACAACTTCACGGTGGTGCATGATGCATTCATATGGAAAACCGCGCCCAGACACTCACGGTGGTCGCGGATCAAGCCCTGCCGGAAGTAAATATAAGACAGTCGACTTTTACTTACTTAGGTTACGCCATGATCCATGATTCTCTCAGCCATATGATCCCCATCAATTGTGGTTGTCTGGCGTCCTTCAAGTTGCCCGCGAGGAACGAACAGCGTATTTCCAATTTCTTCCGACTTTCTTACTAGTTCCAATCCGCGTCGACGAATTGTTCTACGCTTCGTGTTGTAAGGCAATTCAACCAATCGAGGGGCGCAATGGGCCTGAGACTGATATATGCACTTTGGATCAAGGACTTGTCAGCATATCAGAAGCCCAAAGGCAGCTGGCTTGCACTGGATACAAGCATGTCAGCAGCGTTTATGCATTTATATACTAAAATAGAAACGAGCATTGGATGGGAGGGTAGAGTTGGGTATAGGGTAGCAAAGATAAATATAACGAACATACAAGGAGGCGTATCAAGTTAATCTGATCACCTGGCCCAGCGGTGCGCTGAGCGTTGAGCCTACAGCGAGTTTACAAATAAGTCTGTTTGGTCTTGATGCTTAGTAATGATTGATGTTGACGAGGGAAACCCCCACAACATGCTAAGCACATGTGATAACCAGTAGTACACCATATCCCCAGTGACGTCCAGAGTATCAACTCACTTGAGCCACAATTAACCCCCACAATCAAATCCCTGTGTCTCTCGCATCTGTCGGTGTATCGCACATCATGGCTCCCATTTCCAAACGACGAAAGCTTTCAGACCTAACTTCAGGAGATACAAACGAATTGCTGAATAAGATAGAGGAATTTCGTTCCAACCTTGATGAAGGAGGCGAGGATTTGCCTGATGGTCTGATCGATAAACTCCGAGAACTGCGCGACAAATTGGAAAACGTTAAGTTGTTGATGAAGGTTGAATGACGCTGAATTGTTCACAGATCTGATTAGCCTCTCCTTAGCACACCTCCTTCTCTGAGGTGGATCCAATAACGCTTGCTTCATTGAAGATATCGTCTGGTCCACTTTTTCTGATCAGCAACAAGCAGCAACAAATCGAAGACCTTGGATTGGCCGAAATACCAGGCTGTCTTCTGATTGATACTACGCGATCTCTGATAAGTTTAGTGCGCGGCCACGTTGCAACGGTGGTATGTTACGGTGGCTGATTTCCATGATCGACTGTATATTCATTTAATTTCCAAAGACGGAAGCTGGATGTCGCATCTTGATCAACATACTCTTGTTGAGAGTTGTATCGGTGTGTCCGGGTGTGAACATAATTCCAGAATTCCCCATCCCCAAAACGACATTCAACCCAGAGTCTGGCAGATGTTCGTTTAGTGGCGTTGTCGACTTCTTGGTGGCTAAAATCCCCACTCAGTACACCGGTTAGTCATTTTCTGTCGCGTGCTAGAATGGATTTGAACCATCCTTTAGCATACCTCCTGAGCAATCCGAGCGTAGCACTGGGGTGTCCCGGAAACATCAAGGAACCAATAACGTCCAACATCTTCGAAGCCAAGCGCGATAATATTTGGGCCGGTCTATCTTAAGCTACAGTTTTCTGCGGCTCCGTATTGTCAATTGCAGGGGTCAGCTCTCTGTCGTTCTATGTTCCGTGACGTAGTCTAACTTTATGATAGCTTATTGTCATCAGGGGTGTTATCACCAGCGGAGAACAGTGGATGTTCTTCGTGTACGAAAGGCACACAGATGGTACTGGGCGAGTCCTATATTCTCCCGAATACACTCTGGGACCGAATCTCGAACATCTAGCCTTCGTTCTTGGCCTCTTGCGGGATTCGGTGCGACTGAATTCTCGTATCTCATTTTTGCATCCTCACTGTTTCGAATAGATTGATAACGCAAATAGCTCCAACCTTGCATTCTTCACTACCCCGTGACAGATATATGGTCCCACAGCACGTCTTCTTGATAAGCTCCCTGTAGAGTATTTATATTTGTATTGTTGGATGTTCAACATCCTGTGTTCCTTTTCCTCGTTTGTCCATGTCATCACGGACTCTACTGTACTACATAATTTCGTTGTGTTGCGTTATACCAGGACCTAGAATAGGTACTGGTTTAACAAAATTAAATGTCTGTCCGCCTGATCATCCCGAGCCTGCAGAGTGGATGTCTACGGACACCGTTTAATTCTGATAAGTTCAAAAATTTGCCCAGGATGATAGGCGGTACAGTGTGGACAGCTTCTGGGTAAACCTCAGATCTGTTGATGTGAACTAGGTCGAAGCCAATCCTGGAGTTGCACGGTTTCCAATGCTCCCCATCGCGTCTGGGGCATTTTCTATCTGCTGTTCACATAATGTACACAACACCCGCCTGATACATGTTTCTGGACTCGTCTCATACTTTACTGATACTTCTTCTCTAGATCATAGATTTATATTTCACTCTACCACCTTTCAATCTGCTGTGCTATTATTTGGCTGTGCATATCCTCCCGTGTAGTTCAGCAATTCAAATGAGCCGCTATCTGTCATGACACTCACCGCAGCTACAATTCTTCTGGCACGATGTATCAGAGTCCTGACTTCGTTTAATTATTGATGTGTCCCAACCTCGGCCTTCAAGCTTCATGCATCACTTCAGATCAGCATCCTGTGGACGATCGAATTTGGTGTAGATCTTGGTAGATGATCTCCACTGGGCCACTGGCATACCACACATGAACTTGAAAGCATAGCGCTGCGTGTTTTTTCTTGTTCCATATTTGAGGCTTATTCCCTACTGATAGAAAGACTTTCTAAATTTCGAGATTGCGGGAACCATTGCTTGAAGTCCGCCAGATAGTTCCGATAATAGTACAGCATGACATAATAATTGACATATGTGGTTTGTCCAGACTAAATACTATTCAATCACTTCAGAACACCAAAAAAACACCAAATAAATACCGCGACGAAACTGATAATCTGTATGCTCCCCGCATAGTACTGTGGTTCATCGTTTGGATCGTTTACGTGCTACACATCTCCGCCGGTCAACACATCTCCACCAGCTTGGAAAGCAATGGATGTCATGCATGTTCCCTCGTCGGACCTGGCCACCATCTTAGCATTATTTTCTCGAACACTGAGGATCAGACGCGGTCCCAGAATAAACATCTGTAACGCCTGAGCAAATGTCATAATGCCGTTATAGGCAGCAGCTCCCGCAGAAGATGTGTACTGTAGACATGATGAGGAGTGGTCAGATGCAGATATTATGCGAGGGTTAGCGCACCGTTATATATGGAGACAGAGCGCCAAGAGTGAGGCAAGTCACAACAAAAAGCTAACACATGCGGAACTTCAGCGAAAAAAAGAGATAATAACGTCCAAATGACCGAGCTCACACTAGAAAGTAAAACACGTGGCTTTTTGCTAACGCCATGAAACAGTCCCCAACGGTCGACCCGCTCGGCGATTGTCGCAGTTCACGGAAGTGTTTTATAACAATCCAGACCGCAAGACAAAGGACGAGGATCTCCCATATAGCGGTGGATATCAAACTCTCGTAACCCAGATTTGCCTCGTTTTGCGTGATCGCGGTCATACACAAACGATAGCCAGAGAGGATATATTCCTCTGGTATTTGTCCATGAGTCTTATGCGCTCAAGGCTTTCATCAACAACTGAAGCTTACCCCCTACAGCGCCGATGTATGCTATCGCCGTGATAACTGCGGAGGTGATCGTGGAAGCCAGTAAAACCACCACAAGAAAGATGAGCATCTTTTTGGATCGTTGATACATGGCATGTATCCGCGCCATCATGATGACTTGCATGATATTTCAGTCGGGTCAGTATCAGTAAGGTACCCCAGATGAACTCACCGCCCAGCATGGCATTGACGACGACAGACATCCATGCCTCTGCGAACCAAAAACCAGTGCCTGAAAACCCAGTGACTTCAATTTGGTGGAACAAATGCTTCAAATGAACCCACAGCTGTTGAAGTTGTTATCTTGAAGAAACAAGACGGTTGAAAATATTACTCACGCCTATGGAGAAGCGCAGTTAGTAATTGAATGGGAATGGCAGCCATCAGTAGTACCCACTTCATCTGTCATCGGGAACGGGAGCATCGCTGCATGGCGTCAGTCAGGAGAAACGAATGTATTTTGGGACGCATACACAGTGGGTAGATGCTGGTTGTGAGATATGGCTCATTAGCATAGTGCAGTATCATTAAGTCTGCCTCGCAAACATACACAGAATATAGTATCCCCACGTAGCGCACCTAGATATATGTAAGCTAGTACAACTTGCCGAGTACGCTTGTAACATGAGCTACTCACACCGACATATAGCAGAGTCATGAGAGACCAGCGTTGCCTCTGCCCCGGGTCAACTGCATTATTATGTTTACTTCCGATATAGGACTTTGCTCACCCAAATCAATTCGAACTGTGAAAGCACCCTTAGCGACAAGGCCACGCAGCTCATGACATCAACTTACCTCTTGTCTGAATGTTAATGCTTGGATACTATATAAATATCAACGATTCCCTCGTATAGTATTATCCCGCTTACCCCAGTCATATACAATCATAGTAGAGGATACGACTGCGAAACAACAGTCAATGATCGTGAGACGTCAACATCATCATACTTGCTCTTTACGAACCTATGAAATAATTGCCAAGTCGAGTATTACTGATAACCGGCCACCAAATGGGATCACTTGAGATGAAGGTCATATTGGGATGGGGCCTATAGGGTCTTACGAATGAAGAGGCTCGGACTAGGAACGGGAAAGGGAGAGAAATCAATACGCTGATCGAAACGGAGAATCAAAGGTGAACGTCTATGAGACGTATAACGAGGAGTGATCGTGTCTGTAAAAGAAAAGGATGAGCACGCGTATGAGAGTGACGTCGTGTCTCAATTAACACGGAGTTCGTACATCTAGATATACCATCGTCCAGCGCTTTTTTAGTGATAAATTTGGATGTCTGCTTAACCGGCTAACCTTGATTGATCGTATCATGGTGCCAAGTATCATGAAATCAAGTCATTTGAATAGCCCTCATAATGACATATGATACAACCGTGGCAGGCGTGGAGTAGCGCAGAGTGGACACGAGGCAAGAGTCAGGGGTCTTAGACTACACGTACAGAGGTTAGAGAACACATCATTGCATTCCCTTCTCCTTCTGAGCGCTAGGCTGGGCCATGTCTCCAATGGGTAATTGACCAAATATTGTCCAACTGGATGTATCGTGAGGGGAAGCTCTCGGTACTTGCCCTTACCACGAAGCACTAGTGACAGAAAATAGCTTGCATTCGAGGCTCAAATTATTGTGGCTGTGACACTGACCGTCTATAGAAGCTCACCTTATTTTAGCCTGCAGAAACAACCTGTGTGTGTCATCACATCATCTTTCCTCCTGTCATTCATGTGATCATATTGACATATGCCTGTGCTGGGGTATTATGTATCAGTCAGTGAGAGGCTATGTTATATCAGTGCCTTTGGCTTACAATGTGATATATCACACCACAGGTCCACAGCATCACACCTCTTGCTTCAAGAGTGTCTTCTTTCTTTCGAACTCCGACTTTAGCTTCTCAGGGAACGTCGAATGCTTCAGCACCCGATCATTGCTTATACCGCCATGTCTTGAAAATATCGCCCAAAGCTCGCCTGGCGATCCACATTTCCCAGAGGCTGTCTTGATGCTGATCAGTCCTCCCATCCAGAGGAGATACAACATGGACGACTTCCATTTCATCGATGCTCAACTACGCTGAGTACCTCCAAGATTAATATCTCACAGGCCGGGGCCCCACTGTTCGATATCTAGCGTCTGGTACTCCTTGCTTTGCCGGTACCGAAACTTGCACGGACACTTCAAAGTGCTTGTTGCCAAGTCTGGGTACCCGCGGCACGCGCCTGTCGGTAGCAAGCAAGAAAAGCTAGTGTGCTGGGCTGGAGGCAGGGTGAGGTTTTCATATACGAAAGCGTCTCTACTAGTAGCACTGGTTAACAAATTTAGAGCAGTTGTCCACAAAGGTATGACAGCCGGCGTACACTTGTGCGATACAAGTGGCAAGTGGGATTTACCAAAAACTGTATAGCAGATGAGATTGATGTTAGGGTTGCAAGAGCGGTAGCGAGAAATCAGACGTATGAATCTAACAAAGACCCTCCTCTACTAACATGGCCCGATACTCGCAACACGCTAGGCACATGTGATAACCAGTGGTACACCATATCCCCAGTGAGTGGATGTCCATTGTCTACGGACACCGTTGATTCTGATAAGTTCAAAAGTTGCCCAGGATTATAAGCGGTGCAGTGTGGACAGATTCTGGGTAAACCTCAGATGCTGTCCGTTGATGTGAACTCTAAGTCGAGGCCAATCCCGGAGTTGTCGTCAACCGGTTACGGGCGATCCTGGAACTGGACTGGTGTTGCGCGGTTTCCAATACTCCCCATCGCGTCTGGGGTATTTTCTATCTGCTGTCCATATAACGATAATATACATAGGTGAGGACACCCGCCTGATACATGGACTCGTCTCATACTGTACTGATACTTCTTCGCTAGATCATAGATTTATATCTACCACCTTTCAATCCGCTGTGCTATTATTTGGAAAGCCCGTGCAGATCCTCCCGTGTACTTCAGCGATTCAAATGAGCCGCTATCTCACTGCAGCTACAATCCTTCTGGCACGATGTCTCAGAAGTCCTGACTTCCTTTAAGTTTTATTGTGTCCCAACCTCAGCTGAATTCAAACTTCATGAATCGCTTCAGGTCAGCATCCTGTGGACGATCGAATTCGGTATAGATC